TTAAATCATCATCATTTGACCTCCAGAACCTCGAATACCAAAAATTTTTTTTTTTAATTTGGTGCATGGAATTCTGCAGAAAATCATTTTCGAAAGAACCGCCGAAGCCCCCTTCACGGAGTGTGACGTCACGAAAGGAGTTTTCGAAATCTCCGCTCTTGAGTACCCCAGCGCCTATCAAAGCTGTGCTTTTGCACTCTCACTATTTTTTAGTGATGGGCCAAACTTTTGCCAAATCGAAAGTTCGGCGCGGAATCTTGGGATTCGGCAAAGCCAAACTTTTTTAAAGATTCGGCAAAAATACTTTGTTACCAGACTTAACATTCATATTTCGTTTTTTCTGGCGAAAAAAGGTTTCATGTTTTTTTTTTTAACTTAAATGCAACATGTAATGCATATTGACATAGTTATTAATAAATAAGGTGATATTCTACAAGATAATTGTATCGTTGTTTTTATGTGTTTACTGGCAATTTTATTGGCTCCTTGCAGAAGGGGCGTGGCAACGAGGTTGGGTAGAAGCGAGTGTAGTGGCGCAGTCATGAATCACGCTATGAGAGTTTCGGTTCTTAGGCATCATCAGCGCAAGCCTGCATATGTGTGTACACTGTTAAAACGAAGACGACAACGCTGCGTTCTTGCTTTCTCTGGGAGTCACCGTTTTGTGCACAAAAACGAATGCAACGGTTGCTGAGCCTTCACCAGAAGAGATAACAATAATATTGTAAATATGCATGATTTTCGATTTGAGTCGCTTGACGCCAGCTTTGCATGAAAGTGCACGTCCCATATTCGCAACGTTTTGTTTTTAACCTTTAAAATGCCAGATTCTGGTGTTAGGACACACGCAAACGTTTCGGAAGATAGGGAGATTTAGGAATGGTCGGATGTGCAACGTTGAGCATTATTAGCCCCGAGAAGTTCGCGTGGCGCCCCCTTACGGCGAACCGGGGTGACGTCACGGCGAGGAGAGAATTTTTTCCCGACTCGCCCCGCTCGGCCTGTGGAGGCTGTGACGACGCTAGCTGTCGGCGCGCTCGTTTCTATTTCATTTTTTTTCGCGTGTTTTTCGTAGGAAGTGTAAATTTTTATGTGTGCTTTTATTGAGGTATAGCCTGTAGCTACAGGTGAAACTTCAACCAACATTTTAAGCATGGTTGACAGGGCAGGCAACGCATGAATCGCAGCTGGCATATGAAAATAAAGAAATATGGCCACAATTGCAGGAGCATCACTATGGATTTGTATCTCACACAATAAATGCTGCTGATGGTCTGAATGAATTGGCAGGTTATGCATACTATTTTTTTTTTTTTGTATCTCTGCTTTTAAACAAGATCGCCGAAGCAGAAAAGCTGCCTGCTCCTCGAGCAACATGCTAAATACAGTCTGGGCCATGGGGAGAGAATCACAAGTAAGACAGCCCAAGTGCAGGAGCAAAGTAAAAAAACAAGGAACATTTATTATATACATTGCTTGCATATAAGCTTTAAGCTTTATATACATTGCTCGCATATATAAGCATATAAGCCCTAAAAATGAGACTTTACTTAAATCGAACTGCCCTGAAGCTAAAATACCAGAAGCTTTTCTCACGCAGACTGTCGCCCTTCACAGGATCCACATTTTCTGCTACTAGTGCTGCATCTACCACTGGACAGACGTTTGAATGCTTGCTTTTACTCCTGTTTTCCTCTGTTGTCACAGAGTCCGGCTGTAGGGAGTTTGGAGGCTGAGGAAGCTTTTGGGGACCTGCAGCAGTCTCTTTAAATTGGAAATGACAATTCAGACTAAACGGTGTATTTTTTTTAATACCCAAGGCTGGAATAAAGAATGTCAGGAAAAAGTATAAACATTCCAAATTACGGCACCATTGCTGTGCATATTTTGGGCAGTTCAATACATATCATACAGGCAACTGGGGGCAATTCGGCCGTTTTTGCTGCTACCATACAAACTAATTTTCAGTAATGTTGCATCTTTAAGAAATATGCCTGCATACGTGTATAAACTATATAATTAATTCACGAAGAAGCTACATTTATGTAAAACAGCCCTGTTCCACGAGCACTCCAAAGATCATCTGAAGCAGGGTCTTTAAAGCATCTGCGAACCAGCGCATGTAGAGTGGAAGCGCAGAGTCGGGGTCGCGAGCTAATTTGCCGACCACCCAAAGGCCCTTGATATCAATGCCACTTCAAATGCCTTGAAAGCGGGATGTAATATCGTTCTAAATCATGAACAGGCAAGGAACAGAATTCCAGCGTCTGAAACACTTGCGCCACCGCTTCACCGACCCTTCGCAAGATTGCCTTGCGTCGTGTGAACAGACGGGGAGGTTCATCGGCGGAATTGCCTCCTCTGATAGCTTTCGAGATTTGTAACCCAATTTTAAAGGTAAAAGGGGCAAGCAGGCTTATAAAATGTACGGAAGCACGCCAATATCAGCCTAACTCAACGTTTTGTACACCGGGTACACGAAGTCCAGCTCCTCGAAGAGCTTCCAGGACACAACGCCAAACCGGGAAACCGGTGCTGGGAAGCGATGCGAGGTCGCGGAGCAGAGTACTCGCCCTGACGTCACGGTACACCTCACCCATTCAGGGCGCTGCGACTGCAGCAACGCTTGTGTTCGGGGCTAATAGTTCTGAGTTTAGCTTTACGCAGATACATGAGAGAAATAACACTAAGGGAAAGAGCAATATTATTTTGTTCTGGACCTCACTACTCCTGAGCCGAAAACAGAATTGTTATACAGTGTAGACCGCATATAACGTATGTCGCGAAAATCCGCACTATAAGCGGTACCGCGCTATAACCAAAACATCAATTTTTCAGGCCAAAATACATGCCATCAGACAACTTACCTTTGTAAAAGAATTTGTTTTATGTTAGATGAAAAATAAAGCTTAGTTTGAGGAAAGTCTTTATTTCACCAGAGTAGTACAGTTCTGTCTCAAGTATGTCGCACATTTTGAAAGAAATGAGCGACTTTTGCCTGGCGCAGCCTTTTAACAGCGTCGCGGGTTGCGGACTGACGTTGCGAGCGTTCAGGATTGCTAACCCTAATCACTTTTCTCCGGCGATGAAAACGCATGAAAATTCGCATCCTTTATATGGTGTGCGCCAGTAATACCTTCAACTTGAGCACAGGCATGAAATGCTCCAAATAAGAAATTCGGGCAATGTTTGAAGACACAAATGCTTAGAAAGCACCACTGTAGTCGAAGTGAACAAACACGACGACACGGGCGTTTCTGCCGTCTTGAGAGTGCCGCCACAACATCGCCGCACGAGTAGGTGGATCTTCCCTTCTAGTACGTGCTGGGTTATCATAGTGACACACAACGAAAATTCAGAGTCAAGGATAGCGCTTTTACGCAGACCGATGAGCTTCCACCACGCCGTAGTTCACTTTAACGCCGTCTACGTCGACGATCACAACCGACTCCATGTTCGGGGATAGAAGCAGCCGGCCCGTGACCGGCATGCAACGTGCGCGAACACTTCTCCTCGATCTGCGATTGGTCTGTCGTTGCGGTTGTTTGTTTCCAACGCAGCGGAAGGACGCACGCACGTGAACGACACGTGCGGACATGCGTGCGTCCCTCCGTCGCTATGGCAACTGAAGCCTCTCTCTTCGCTTCTTTCCGCTTCTTCGAGCCTTTGAGCAACCTCCTTGCCCCGCGAGTGCCGCTTGCGGCCATTGCGGCTCGCGCCGTTATCTAGCGTCGCACAGGGAAGCGTGCTCGCTGCACCGCTTAGTCGGCGCGCTGTTCCAAAAACCGCACTATAACCGGTATTTCCCTTCGCACGCCTGCATTTGAAGCGGTATGTAAATACATGGAGTTCTATGAGAGGCGAACCAGTGGTTTAAAAAACCGCGTTATACCCAGTCCTGCACTATAAGCGGTTACGTTGTAAGTGGTCTGTACTGTAATTGCGAAGAGTGCTTTAAAGTAATTGTCGGCCAATGTTTCAACTACGTTGCATCAATAGAAAGGTCAAATGAAAATCACGTTATCCAGAATGCACCACATCATTTGTCACTTGCGCAGTGGACTGCGTAAATTACTGGTCGATCTTCTATTCTTGAGGCAGAAAATAGTGATGAGAACCTCACAAGCGCACAGTTACCGTGTTGCCTACTCCACACCTCGCCATGACCGATGGTTGTTCTACACTGCGCGATGGTAACCGCACGACTGCGCGGCGTCCATTTGCGATCCATGGCCCCATCGGGTTCTCGCGCGTGCGCAGACATATGCCGAATTTTTCGCGAAATTTTTTTTCAAAAGTTTGGCATTGGCCGAACTTTTCCGAATCTGAAGTTCGGCAGATTCGGTCCATCACTACTATTTTTTAAAAGGGCAGAAAATGATGTCACAACTGGTTTCGGTGCAGGGAAATATACGCAGCAAGCCTACAATTGCATGCGTAGCCTTCGAGCGACACACACTTGGCGGCCGAAAGACCCTTCTATGACCTCACGATTGGTCAGAGGTTTTGTGTGTTTTCTCGCGTTTATTTATTTCATATGTGCCCACAGATTCACACGATAAAACTACACTAGAATCAACCTCTAGCTTATTTTTTGAAAGAAGCGTTTCACCTTCACTTTAATGTGATAAAGGAAAGGGCCCAGGGTAGAAGAAACATGATTCTATAGAACATTGGTTGCGTCATTGAAAAGGTTAAAAAGCGGAAACTGAAACACGTACGACAAGAACAGGCTGATTTTATTGAAGAAACATTCACTCAGCCAGTCTGCCATTCACCATACCGATAAACAATCAGACTGGCTGAGAGAATGTTTTTTTTCTCAATAAAATCAGTTGTAAGTAGCACCTGTCCTTGTCGTTCATGTTTTAGTATTAGACCCAATCAGAGTTTTATTGCTTTAGCACTTCTGGAAGTGTGGCATCTGGGAGCTGGTAGAGCCTACTCTGGGTTTCAGAAGGTTTGGAGAGAGAAAAACTGCAGCGGGAGTTTTATCCCAGCTGCTGGTGGCAGAGAAGCGTGGGAGCCTGCGGCTGTACAACGCCCTGAGCTGGCAGCCCCTCATGTCCCTGGACACAGGCCCACAGGGGGCACCGCTGCTGTCCGCCGACTGGTCTGTCTGCAACAGCCTGTTGCTCGGGGCCGTCGCAGGCCCTTCCTGGTTCCTCTGGGAGACTGCCCGCTCCAGGTGCCTCTCCCCGTCCCTCCTCAAAAGTTGGGGCCAAGACTCGCACGGCTGCATCCGAGTGCATTCGAGCGCTCCTTGGTATAACTGTTTGCAACGAGAACACGCACTCTCATTTTGCTTATGTTCCACCAAGAGAATGCAAACCGTCTATCCGGTAGCAACGGAACACTTACCACTTGCGTGTACCTATGGTTTGGCGCATCTGCTTCCGCGACACAAGCCACTGGAATGTCGCGGAAGTGGATACACTGAATTTAAACCAAATAGAAGAGAAAGGGCAGTGTTTTGCTTTCAAGATTTTCGTTTGATGCTTCTAGACCCGAACAGGTTGCAAGCACCGTAAGTGCTCCCACTAGATAATTAAGAAAAAAAAAACGTCTACCCTTTCTTTATAGGGTGGCACGACGATTTTTGTTTTTTTTGGCCAACTGTGGGAATCAATCTGCATCACCGAAGAGCGAAAAACCACGCCTTCTTGCACACTTTAGTTTTTATTTAAAAAAAGTGTAAAACGGAACTTCTTTGTTGGATGATGAGCTTTCATCCTCGTAATTTAATTCCGAATAGCGTCGGAAGTCCGATTTGGAGAGCCGGTGCTCGCATTGGCACTACCGCCATAGCGGTCAATATGCGAGGTGAGCATCACAAGTACGAAGCATCTAATTTGAAAACTCTAAATAACCCAACGAAGTGAAACAGCATGCGATGCTTATAGGTCGCCAAGTACATAACAAATAGCAGCGGCTCTTCCGAGGCTATTTCCGACGCTATTCGGATTTAAATTCGAAATAGCTTCGGAATTTAATTCCGAACATGCCACATGCCCACGAACAAGGAGCCGAGCCGGCTTGGAAACGTCGGGCACAGTCCAGGAATTGGTTAGAGTTTGTTGTACTCCCAGTGGGGTGTGAGGAAAAAGTGTGCTTGCTGCAGCCGGCCCCTGGAGCAGAAGGCCGCTTACCCCGGTGGAGGGACGGACTTCCGCTTCTCGCACGTCCACGAGGCCCTGTGCGCCACCCGGGGCTTCCCGGGCAACCAGGTGCGGGTGCTCAACCTCCGGACGGCTCAGGTACCTCCCTCTCTTGCAAAGGGACCACCTCCACAAGATTGCCAATCAGCTTTCTCTCCAAAGTCCTATGATGTGCAATATTTAAGGTCCATTCGGAAGGTGCAAATAGTTGTTTCAGAAGTGAAGAACCGATATCTTCATCGATTTATTTAGCGGGGAAACTGAATTGGTCTCTAGGTCACGCAATGTCAATTTTCCCACTTATTGATGTGGTCGCATGACGTCAATTTTTCTAGTTGATTTGAGCGAGGAAATGCCTAAATGTGCAGGTGGACACACATTTTTGGCATTGGGGGGGTTTCGTATAAAGCCCGTTTAAGAAATGAGCGTTCTGAAAGCTGCTGGCACGAGTGCATGCTCCAGATCAAAGGGGCTCACATTCTAAGGTTAATTTGTGGGAAATACACTGGCTACACGTATTGCAGTGTAGCCATACCTTAAAGGTGCACTTAACCACGCCTATTTATGGTCATGACTCAATCTGCTCTAAGCATCCTAAAAAACCTAGCATCACATTCGTACGTGGCCGATTTCTCTATTAAAATCGGTATCAAAAGATTGACACCAAATGGTGCCGTTGGCCAAAGAACGGTGGTGGAACTGCATATGCTCCTCTTGCAGAGCAGAGTACCGCAATGGTGTCTTCTGTTTTGCTATACGCCCATGGTAGAATGTAGTCGCCAACGAAAACGTCATTCCTTCGCAAGGGGTAGCTGCACATTGTCTGGTCCGAGATGCCCGGATGTGCTGGTTGCGTATCGCCCAGCGAGTGCCGCAGATCCGAGAAACGCAATCGTCCTCCGTGTCGTCTGCTTCTCAGGCTTTGAAAACATGTTTTAAAACATCGCTGGCATTATAAAACAATCCAATTGTGCCGTACCCAGCAGCTACACATGATTGTCCATGTTCGAGAAACCTTCCGGTTCGTTCTATTGAAGTGTAGGATGTATTTTTCCCAAGCGCAAAGCGAGAAACGTGCTCTGCCCGAAACTCGGCGCCTGCAAGGTCGCTTTCCCTTGTGAAGGTTGGATCCAGCTCGGTGCACGTGACCGCTTCTCCGCCAATACGAAGTTACCGGCGCCAGTAAAAGGAATGCGATACTGTAGCTCTACAAGCAGAGCCTGCACAGTTACTCTAAGGAAAGGCAGCGCCCTGCCCTTCCTCGTCGGATGGCACCATCTGGTGTCAAATCGCAACTTCCAATTGTTTTCTTTTTTTTTTTTTTTTTGTTTCGAGGAGATTTGATGTTGAGATGCATCGTAAGTTCCGTATTTACCCAGATAATAGCTGCGCAGCCCAAACATAGTTTGTGCATCTATTTTCAAGAAGAGCATGCGCAGGGTATTGTGGTATTGCGATGGGCAGAGGCAGCCTAATGAGCAAAGAGGTAGAGATGAGATGCTCTCCGCACTGCAACAAAAGCAAGCAGCAACCTCGCGAGAGAAACGAGACGTAGCACGATGTATGTGAGAGTAGAGTCTGAGCAGGTTGGAATCCAATTGGGTCAAGCACCATCTTGACAACAATTTGTGAGGTGATTTGTTGTTAACGTAGCAGCTTGGGGTGAGTTGGTTGCTCATATTAACGCACACTACAGCTCATCTAAACAGTATCAGCGCACACGTAGAGAGAACAGAGATCTCTCTACGTGTGCGCTAATGCCGTTTAGATGTTTAAATACCAACTAGCTCAATTATCAACCCGGTATACTACAGCGCACTATTGCAAAAGTGCGCTCGCACCATACACTCACTCCAAGGACACGAAAAAGAAAGGAAAAATGACACAAACAGCGCGGTTTGTTCGATTTTTCCTTCCTCTTTCGTGGGTAAGGAGTGAGCGTACAATGCAAGTGTACTTTTGCAGTAGTGCGCTGTATTGTGTGTTGATTTGTTGGCACTTGGGGACCAGTTGGGATGCAGGGGTAGACGCTAAACACACCAGTTGGAGATCCAGGCAGTGTAGTTGCAGATCGGAGCGACGGCACGACACGTTGGCTCCCGCAATACGTCGTTGCCAGGCCGCTCCCAATGCACGGGGAAGGGACCTTGCCAGTGGGAGACGGGCCACGAAGGGGGCGTCCAACCGCAAGGTCGTTGCAGGTGCTGCTCACCAGAGACCAGCCTGTGGGGTGCGGTCTCAGCTGGCACCACAAGCTCCCCATCGTGGCCTACGGCGGAGACGGAAGGGTCCGCCTCTTCAGGGTCACTTCCTCCTGAGGGGACGACTTCGGGGCTGGCCGCAATAAAGACGCCTCTTGGGGTTGTCCTGCGGGACCATGTCTCGACAAGCTTGACTTACGCATGACGCGAGGCACCCTTGCGGCACAATCGCACGCAGACAAAAAATCACATTTTGGGCGACATGAAAAAAAACGAGGCTTCCACAAGGGGGCCTCTTGACTGTTGTTGACATTTGTCCAATGATTGTTGTTGCCGCTCGGCGAGAACGGCCTTTAGTGAATGGACGTTTGCACACGAGTTGTATGCAGCTCAGACACAAACTCGAGCGTGCAGCTTCGGAAGGTTTAGAAGGTGCTCTTGTGCCCCAGAATGTGCACGGCACTGCTATGTAGACAAGCCGATGACCGTTACGGATGGCATTTTTAGACCATAAAGTCAGCAGCAATAAGGCAGGGGCTTAGTCAAAGATGCCTTCTGTCGCCTCTACTTTTCATGATATACTTAAAAGAAATTGAGAAAAAGACTAGACCAAAGTCAGCGAGGCACTGATGTATCATATAAGGAGGGAGCGGAAACAGTGAGGCAGAAAGTACCAAACCAATATGAGTTGCAGAAATCGTTCGGAAGGGGACGCTTTTGGGTTTAGGTTCACTGAAACAAACTCTGGAATTATGTTTTTAACGACTTTGTGGGAGACCCTTTAATGGATCCGAAGTGGTGTGGGGAGTATGAAAAAAAGTAGTAATGGTGTACCAGGATTGGCCTTTGGTAATGTAGACTTGTGGACAAGTTCTGAAGTTCAAGCAAGGTTGGATCTAGGACAAAGGAGCGTTGGCAGGATAGCTGTAGGAATACATGGGAACACTTCAAATGAGGGGGTGTGGGACAATATGGGGTTTTCATCATTTGAGAGCAGAGAGTAACTTCAATTTTGACCAAAGGCTATCGGACATGGAGGACACACAGTGGACGCATGAAATCTTGAAATAACTGTGTATGAGGAGTCCGAACACGAGATGGACAAAACGGACACGAAAGCTAAGAATGAAATTTCTGCAGACGGGCAACAGGGGGAGCAAAAGGCATTCAGGGAAAAAGGCAGTTAGCGAGGCAGAGAGATGGATGTGGGAGGAGAAAATGTGGGAGAAGCCAGCTTTAGAGGATTATAGGTCACAAAAAGCAAAAAATAAAGAAGGAAGGTTCATTCGATTATCCAACCAGGAGCACTCTGCTCCGCAGGAAGTGCAAATCAGAAGTGACAAAAGGCAAGATTATAGTGTGTTCTCGGGGCATTAAAGTGTTTCCTAGCGCTTTTCTGATCCTACAAAAGCTATGATGGACAATACAAAGGAATTTCCTTAGAACTATCTTCCAAGTCGTGGGAAGGACGGTGCGAGTGGGCCTCTTTTACGTCTTCGCTCGTTCTTTCTCCCCTTTGCGCCAATCGCCGTTGGTCGCTTGCTGCCTGTCTTTTTGTTTTTGTGTTTGTTGTTTGTTTTTCATAATTTTGCTGCGCACACGGGCACAGAAAAAAAGTCGTCATTGGCTGAGCCAGCCGCTGGGCTGACTGGGCCGCCGGGCTGACCGGCGCCGAGTTGCGACGGGGAGACCGCTTGCGTTGGTGCTTGGGCAGCCTGTGCCCGCCTTCTGGATGTGGAAGTGTCTTGCATCATCAATGAGATGTTAGATGCGCAATAAGTGCTACAATAATACGATGGAATTGGCCACCAGAGCAATGGAAAGCGTATGCTGGCGAGGAGCCGACCTGACTGTCGGTCGGGCAGAGCAAATACATCGTGTAAAAATATGCGTTTGCGCATATTGGTTTGATAAAGCGGATTAGACCTTGAACCTAGGGGAATCTTGGATTGTCTTGTTTGATCATTTTCATCCCACAACTGCCTATGTCGAAAACTAAAAAAAAAAAGTTAATGCCGGTTGGAAGGCCACATTGGAATCGCCGGAATCATTTTGGATTGACCGGAATCATCGAACCTTTTATTCCAGCCTTGTTTTGCGAGCTCGAAATTTTGGTTCAGGATCCCTTTAAAGAAGGCCTTCAGGGACCCCCATTTGAAAATTGCTGCACAGCGTAATTTCTTCCCAGCTTGTGCCCTATTGCGGAGCAGTTCTCCCACCCAAAGTCCCTCGGGCAGTCTTTTACAGCGATAGCTGTTGTGGGTTTTTCCCACCACTGGAAATGGCGTCCCTTATCGTAGGCATACCTCGGAAAAACTCATTCACGAGTGCACTCACTCAGCCTCACCGATCACTTGTGAGGGGTGCGAGTTCACGAGGTCGGTGAGTTTACGAGTTTGGTGAGTTCATGAGTTTTGTGGGTTCATGAGTTTGGTGAGGGGCACAAGTTCATGAACTCAGCAAGGCCAAATTTATGCTGGGAAAAAATTGCACAGTGCGGCAGAGGCCAACATTTTTAGGTGTTTGTGTACCTCGGCCCAGGTACTCTAGAGCAGTGAGGGGAGATGGGCTTTATGACGGTTTGCAAAGAAGTCGAGGAAGGGCAGTTCATATGACTTCTTCATACATTTCCGGGGAAGTTGAGTGGACTCGCTTTGCAATGGTGCTGTTAGCTTCTACAGCTGATTCTCTACTAGTGATGGGAAAGGAGGAAAGAACGCTGATGGATTTGGCTCCGGCTCGCTTTGCAATGGCTCAGCGTGGTCTTTTGCCGCTAGTCGCTGCTATGTGGCTCTCCCGCTCGCCTTGACCGCTGCCAGGTAGACTGAGGCACCAAAAGCGAGCAGCGTTTTGTTGTTTCCTGAGGGAGGAATGCTACTCTGGTATGCCTGAAGGCAGAAGTTGCTATTCCATCGTTCCGGGCACGGTCGCTCCAAAGGGAAGCAATTTAAATATCGTACGTAAAATAACTTGCTCTGACACCACTAGGTCATAGTTTATTTTTACAAATTAGTGAACACAAAGTAATAATTGACTTCCATAAAAAATTATTTTAATAGAAAACGCAACTTTCTAAATGTTTGTATTCAACATATTGACAAGACTGTGAAGTAGCAAATCAGCTTTCAAGCAGGTTGACCTCTTCATGACTGTAAATAAACAACTATTCTCTATTTTTTTTCACAAGTTGGAGCAAAAGCACGCATTGAGCAACAAAAATCTCAAAGGCATCTGACTCCAATAACGATTTTATGTCGGGATTCATAAAGTATAACATTTCACAAGTCACAGAGTCTGTAGATTAGAACAAGTTGGAGGTTTAAAGGGGCGACAAGGGTCTTTGAAATAGTAAAAAATCGCTAAAAATGTCATTTTTCAGCAATCAAATTTGGGAGTTTTACATGCCAAACCAACGACGGGCATCTGGCACGCCCCAGCGGAGGACTGAGGATTAATTTTGACCACCTGGGGATCTTTTGACATGCAACCGAAAGCTTGGTTACACGGCGCCTTCACCGCAGAAAGCCTGTCAGATTGCAAGCACCTCGGCCGGGATTCATTTTTCAGCAATCACAATATTGAAGTCTCTATGGTCCTCAGTACACTCCCAAAATATGAATGCTAAATAAAAAAAGGACAATTTGTAAGCGTTTGTGAGCCCAACTGGTGCCATCTCAACCTTGTTTGAAAGCTGGGTTCCTGTGCTTTGGAGTGACATCGGCATCAAGGCGGTGACGTCATCTCTTTTCGATTGGCTTTGGCATGCACCTCCTTTCCTGGCTTCCATGGCCTTTTCTCTCGCCTGCTCCACGTCTGCTTTCGTTCGCTACACCGTCCGAGATGCCTTTGCTCTTCTCCAGTTCCTATTTTTTACATTCCTCTCATTTGCTTTGTGCTTTCTAGCGTTTTTTGTGCCCCTGCTTTTCTTTTCTAAAAAGAAAAGCGAGATTGTGTCGGTGTTCTATTTCGTTTAGCTCATTTTGATGGCGAGGGACGCCCGTTTGAAAGTGAGCACGCAGAAAGCCCACAGTAAACGTAGAGGCACTTGGAATAAGAACACTGCATTGTTTAGAACAACTATGTCAACTTGGTAGCACTGCAAGTCATTTTACCGCTTGTGAATGTTGTGGCTGCATTAACCACTTTGGCGACACCGCAAGGCACGTCAGCGACGCCGCAAGGCACTTCAGCCCTGGTGGACGTGGCTGGACCAAGCTCGATCGCACGGATAAATGCAAAGAATCTGCGAAGGATCTTCGTTGGCGGAGAGACTTGGTGAAAGTTGGAACTCCTCGACGTCAGCTTGATAAGCGAAGACAATCGCTACGGTACGTCAGCGACGCCGCAAGGCACTTCAGCGCTGGTGGACGTGGCTGGACCAAGCTCGATCGCACGGATAAATGCAAAGAATCTGCAGAGGATCTTCGTTGGCGGAGAGACTTGGTGAAAGTTGGAACTCCTCGACGTCAGCTTGATAAGCGAAGACAATCGCTACGGCACGTCAGCGACGCCGCAAGGAACTTCAGCGATGGTGGACGTGGCTGGACCAAGCTCGATCGCACGGATAAATGCAAAGAATCTGCAGAGGATCTTCGTTGGCGGAGAGACTTGGTGAAAGTTGGAACTGCTCGACGTCAGCTTGATAAGCGAAGACAATCGCTACGGCACGTCAGCGACGCCGCAAGGCACTTCAGCGATGGTGGACGTGGCTGGACCAAGCTCGATCGCACGGATAAATGCAAAGAATCTGCGAAGGATCTTCGTTGGCGGAGAGACTTGGTGAAAGTTGGAACTCCTCGACGTCAGCTTGACAAGCGAAGACGACAATCGCTGCCCAAAGTATGTCATGGTGAACGTTAAACTGCGACGAGCAGCAGTATGGTGGTGAAGCTAGTGCTCACTTTTCGTTGCCATGAGTCGCCAGAGCAGCCACGATCACGCTCTTCGAGATCAACATGAGAGCAGTGAAGGTGGCATAGGAAAGGGAGTGACTGCACTCGCAGACTTCTGTGCCACCCTGAACTACTTCTGGCGGGGGTTTCACCACAAGGCATTCAGGGACACATGGGCACCATGGCGCAAGCTTGCCAGGCAGCGGCAAAAAGCCACAGAAGCAGCAAGAGTGCAGGTGGTGAAGATCCTGGACCAGAACTTCCTTAACCCCATTGTAAACGTGGACATCATCTTTAAGGGGACGTGGGAAACTCATGGTCACAACTCTAACATTGCAGTCGGGTGCATACTTGAGCTGTACTCTGGCCTGGTGCTGGATCACGTTGAACTGTCCAGGTACTGTCGTGGCTGCCAGGGGGCACCTGACCCAGATGACGATGGCTGTGCTGACTGGGTTTTTAACCACAAGTACCTCAAGAACATTGGCCGCAACGCTGGACAAATGGAAGCAGAGGCAGCCCCGATCCTGTTAATTCTAGAGGTCTCTGGAGAAGAATGGGCTGAGTTACACAACCATTGTTTCCGACGGAGACAGCCGCACCTTCCATGTTTTGACGCAGGAGCCCTCCTGTGTCAAAGCAGGAGGGCTCCTGCGCCCCAAGATTATGGCTGCCTCAAGATCGAGGACTGTCTGAACCATGTGCACAAGCGGATGGGCGCAGCTCTTTGCCCCTTAGTAGAGAAGTGGACAAAGGGGGAATTTTTTTTGGAGGAAAAGGGAAGCTGACCCGGGACAAGATTAAAAAAATCGCAAACTACTATAGATACGCATTGAGGACCCACAGGCACGACAAGGGTGAAAAAGACTGTGCAGGCAACTTTGTTGCGCTTGACGTCGAGAGACAAAGCCCCGGAGCCCAGCCAGTGTCCTCAAGGTGACAATTCCTGGTGCTCCTACAACCGCACCCTGGCCAACCACGAGGAGCCACCAAGACACAAGGACCCTCTACCAGGCTTCATTCGCACAGCACTGGAGCCAGTCTTTCAGAGGCTGGGCGACCAGGCTCTACTGGAGCACTGCAGTGATGGCATTACAAAGAACGCCATTGAGAGCCTACACTCGGTGATCTGGAGCCAAAACTCCAAGAGCATGCATGACTCTCTGCTGGCTGTGGAAAGGGCTGTCGCTGAAGCAGTCCCTCGCTTCAACCAGGGCCTGGTGAAGACCAGCAAGGCGGTAGCAGAGCAGCTCAACTACAGCACTGGGAGCTGTCCGACACGCAAGAGCCTCGAGATAAGACAGAGGCTCAGCAAGGTTGACAAGGCTCACACGGAGAGTCAGAAAATGAAGATGATGGCCAAGAGGCACAAGCCCAATATTACCCAGGACTACTGCCCAAGACTCGCGTAAACCAACACTCGCACCCGAAATACTCCAACATGATTTCCTGTACTTTTTTCTTTTCAATTGCCATTGTTCGACTGAAATTTCGAAAACATTGGCGTAAGCGATTTTTAGAAAACTTCCTATTTTTGTGTTAAACAATAACCAGATTGCATCCTAAAGCTTTCTTTTTTTCTGCAAATTAGTAGTAAAGGTTCTAACATAAAAGGAACTTGAATTGCGATTTTCTCAGCTTTGTCTTTTTTATAAGGTGCCATTTTCTTACAGATGTTTATATAATGTTTGCATAAATGAATGCCAGTGAACTGGTATTGTTCTCAGCAACAACTGAACTGCATCCTTAAAGCTTTCATTTTTATTTCATAGTCAATAGATTAAAAGTAATTACTTAAAGGTTACTAATTACAGGCAGATTTTCTTTGCTCTCAGGTCTGCGATTTATTTGCAGCAAAAAACACTATAAAGATTTTATTAGCTTTAGGATGTATGGTGGACCCTTGCAACACTGCACACTGTAAAACAAAAAAAAAAAAAAAAAATCTAATGAGAAATAATGATTTGCAAGAAATAACCTAATTAGACATTTTGCTATAACCTCTGTTCTAAAGGAGATGTGTGAAATATTCCAGATATGAAATCGCAATAAAAAAGTATATCTGCGCTCCAATGTTTAAAAAAAAGGTCGATAAATAAAAAAATAATTTAAAGACCCGCGTTGCCCCCTAATGATATGCGCAGTGCAACAGAAAATAAGAGACCCAATAAAACAATTATAATATTGTACGCGCAAAGTTTCTTCAATCGTTCATTCTTCCAGAAAGAATATCCACCAGGTAGTTATTGTTGGTGAAATAAGTTGTAAAACGAAGATAAATATAAAGATGAACAGTTCCGCAATAGCTCTATTCGAGCAAACCGTCCCACCATTGAAAAGTTTGCAATGTTCTATGAAGAAATAAAATGCACCTACAGGGGTGCTGAAAGAAGCAACACTGCAGGCGCTCACTCCATACTTGCACGAAGTTGTCACGAATCCTTGAAACGAACAGTGCACACCGTAAAGAATGCTTTACGAGACTGGTGATGATGCACCCTTGTATCCCAACAAAGTGTGCCTCACTCAAACGCTCGGCCAGTGCGCGGAAGGAGTCGAAGCAAAACAAACAAAAAGTCAACATTTCTTGACTTGGTGACGTGATGGCGAGATCGAGGGTGAGAACCACTTGTGAGTGAGGTCAGTGAATGAGTTAGATGAGGGGACATGAGTTTTGCGAGTTCATGAGTTTGGTGAGAGACGTGAGTGAGCGGTGAGGGGGCACGAGTTCAGCGAGTTCAGTGAGGAGCACGTGTTTGGTGGCGGTGAGAGTTCATGAGTTCTGTAAGGGGCACAAGTTTGGCAAGTAGCACAAGTTCAAGAGTTCAGTGAGGAGCGTGAGTTCAGTGAGGGGCGGGAATTTGATGAGGGGCGCAAGTTCGGTGAGGGGCGCGAGTTTGGCGAGTGCATGAGTTCAGTGAGGGGCGTGAGTTGTAACTGCAGAGTTAAAAGAATCGAACTCGTGGTATTATTCATACTGATCGACAACGTTCAGACTTTATGTGGAAAAATATTAATGAAGTTCTGAATCGTAATAGCTAGGGCCAAAAATTATTGGTGAGCTAAGTAAGCTCGTCTGAAGGAACATTTTAATGACCACTTTGTAAATGTAGTATTTAGGCCTCGTAGTGACAGTGCTTTACATGTGTTTGTCACATCGATGAGAGTATTTTTCTCAAACGTGCAAAAAAGCGATAGGTTTTCAATATTTTTAGGGGACTCAAAGTAGCAAGAGCAGCAACATTAATGATTTCCAAATCAAATTTGGGGGTTTTACGTGCCAAACCTACGACGGGCATCTGGCACGCACCAGCGGAGGACTGGGGATTAATTTCGACCACCTGGGGATCTTTTGAAATGCAACCGAAAGCTCGGTTCCACGGCGCCTTCTCCGCTATAAGCCTCCGTCATATTGCGGGCACTTCGGTCGGGATTTGAACAGTGATTTCCAAATTAAATTGATGAAGTTTGTAATGGATATTATTCCACGAAACTTGGCGTATATATATAGCAAAATATGGAACTAGCAAAAGTATGTTATTTTTAAGGGGGTGATAAAAACATGCTGAACAATTGAATCCAATTACCGAAGCGGCGAGAGTATAGTGGAGGAGGGAAAGGAGGCCTCGGACCCTTCTTTGTGTCCCCCTTGAGCTCGTTGCTCCAAATTTGGACAAAAATTGCTTTCCCCTCTCTGTGGCTATCCTCTTTCCACTTTAGTGACCTCCTCTCCAGCCCTGCTCAACTGGAAAGGGGTGCCACTCTACTCTCAAATATCTCTTCTTCCCACGTTTTCTAAAAGGCTCAAAAAAAAATAATCTTACCGAGTTTCAATCTGGTTGGCTTCACTATAAAAAATTTAAAGGCAACTTTATTCATTTCAGCAAAGCTTTTTTTAGTCACGAAACCTTACTTGCCAGGCTAAGTAAATATGGTGTTTGCGGCATATCAGTAATGCTCTTGAACTCTTACTTAAAGGCCAACGACCAGACTCGAGATTCTCAGAAGATCCTCCTCACCTTGGGGGAGGAGGAAACAGGCAACGGTGGACAGGGTAGAAGGGGGAGAAGAGGAAGCGAGGGAGAAGTGGAAAGTGCGAACTGGTCGTCGGTCTTTAAATGATTGCCAGCAGTGCATAAGCATGGGTGGACAACATTCCTCGGTTTTTGAGTATTGTATGTGGCATTCTTGGTCCTCTTTTGTTTAATAGTTATATAAATGATATAGTAAATATTGACAAGCTCGGTTTATAATTTATGTGGATGACACCAGCCTATATTTGTCTGATGGCAATGCGGACGTGCTCATCAGGATGGCATATATCGTCTTAAATAAATTTTTAAGTGGTCAGAAGTCAGTTACTGCATTAAAACCCAAAAGCAATTCAATATAGACCAGCTAATAAAGTGGTGCATTTCTAAAGTCCCCTAAAAATCGGAACGACGCCAATTAGGGCAGCAACTGAAAATGCTGAGGATATCTTTTCGGAGCACATCGTGGAACTTTCATATTGAATATTTAATTTTAAAGCTTTCTGAACTTGTGGTTGCCAGGGGCTGCAGCTTCGTACCAGTTTAAGCTTAAAATTTATTATGCCCCGTTTAATGCACACTTAGACTATTGCCATCTGGTTTGGGCAAAAACTATGATAACAAACTTAAGTAGCTTTATAGTACTTCAAAAGAAAATGTTGCATTGTGTTGGAAATGCCCTGTACGTAATCAGAAGCTTCATTTTCTAGATACAAATTGATTGGCATTGAAAATGTGTATGATTATTGTCTACTTTATTCCATTTGTATTTCATCTACAGCACTTATAAATACATTCTATTCAACTTCCGAAGTACGAGAGCATCATGAATACTCGTCTGCAAATTATTGTTTACAATCCTTCCTCGACAACATCTCGACAGTTCTAAATAAATGATTTTTTATTGAGATGTATTTCTAATTTGAAGAGCCGATTTACCCTGACATTTCATCAAGGCTGCTGAATATAATAATATTTATTTTCGGCTCAGGAAAGCCAAGATGCAGCACAAAGGCTGGTGCCCATAATAATGTAGGCCTGCTATGCTGATGAAGCTAGGTGATATACGATACTATACATAGACATCAGGTGTTTACTGCTTCTTTCTCGCAACAAAACAAATCGAGAGGAATCAAAAAAAAATTTTTTTTTTTTCCTTTTAGAAATTAGTGCAAAGAAACAACAGTTCCCCGGTTTGTACACCTTTATCTCAACTACGATGTAAGCAAAGTTCTAAGCACACATAGAAAAAATAATTCTGCCCTAATGTTTTGATGCAGTATTTACGTCGCGAGACAGGTTTTGAGTTAGGGTCAGAACCGAAACTAACTTGTACTCTAAGGTCGACACCTCAAACTGGGAGTTGGTTTTAGTTCAGCTCCAAAGTTGAAAGGTGTCTGGAGACGCAAAGGCTGCGCTAAAGAATGTCTCGTTTCTTTCGGGCAAGTCAGAGTTGTCCCGATTTCCATTGGGGCACTTGGACGAACTCTTCCAACTCAGAGGCCGAACCAGGAGGGCAGGTCCCGCCGGTGGGGGTCGGCGCGGGTGTGCTGCTGCTTGAACTTCTTGAGCTCGTCCGCCTGCTTGAGGACGCTCCTCTCCTGCTCCCGGACCTTCTCCTCGGGGTACACGTCCGGGAACTCAAACGTCTGCCCCTGGGGCTGGAGAAACACACCAGTGTCGGGGACCTCCGGGGCCAGCTCTTCCAAGCCACAGTCTGGCAGAGAAGGAGAAGCGCCTACGTGCTAATCCTTCTCCGTGCTTCTAAACACATGGGGCACGCTTTTTGGCGGCCTCGTGCTACCATGCGCACGTCAGACCAACCGGAGAAATGACATTAGGATCGGTGACACAATGAGTACCGTAACCGCCTTTAAATTCTCCGAGCTGGATAAAACTAGAAAATTCCACGCCCCCTTTTTACTACGGCTCTTCGGCTGAAATGGCTTTTTTATATGGAACTTTGCCTGGCCTGGCCAGCCCTGTTCTAAACTGTGCGGTATCGATTCAAATACCGGCATACTCCATCCGTTTTTCCGTGTGTATGTGTTTCTCTTTCCATATACATTTCTATACATATTAGGCAGTTGAAGATATTGAAAAAAGTTTTTAATATAGCCCTTGAGAGTATAGGCGTAATCCATTTGACTTTTTAATTGAATGTTTTTTTTTTATGATGTAGGATATTTCCTGTTTTTTCCGAATTTTGTCGCTATGGCTATTGGCGACTCGAGGGAAATCGAGAGAAGATCCTTCCAACTGTCACCTGCTTTCGCTGCTTGGTTCTCATAGGCGGCACGGCGTTACGGGCCTGTTTATTAAGATAAACCGAACATTCACGATTAATCGGTGCCGCAACAGAATAAGGTATTAACCAGGACGTGGAAACATCCGAGTGCCGCGCAATTTTCCTCATCCACGAGATGAATAACAATGCCATTACGGAAAACATGTTCCCGCGCAAAAAATACAGCGTTAATTGAAAAGGAGATCGCAACTTTCTTCACTTAAAATATCAGCCAATTCAAGCGTCATACGCACATTATTAAGTTTGATTACGATGGTGCAATGATAGGCACAAGAACCGGTTCTCACGCCTGCCAGGTAATTTTGGTCGTGTTAATGAGTCGAGCAAAACGTCAATATTGTGGAAACATTATCGAAACTTCATTCAGCTTCAATTTTAATGTGCAGAAACGCAAGAATTCAACGTAGGTTTCCTATCAATAATATCCTAAAAGCACATTAATTCGGTAAAATTACTATCATTATCCCACAGAGGCACAAATTGGGTATTTCCCTCAAATCGAAAAATTCGCATTGTAGCATAAATACTGGGGGAAAAACATTGTCATTTTTCTCTACACGTAGCACATTCTTACAAACAGCGCGCCACGTCTTCCTTTTGCACACTGCACTCCTGCGGTGACATTGAGCTCCCCCACTGCACAGGTGCGGCATGTCCGACGTACATGTCCGACGTGTACGCGCAAGCGTGTCAGTTCTTGTTAATTCTACGTCGAATTTTTGGACTCCCATAGCAGTGTGGCTATTAGGATGAAATGACATTGCATTTCAATTCTCGGGACCTGCGCTTCACCACACTGAGAACCTGCTTAGCCCGATGGCATGTCGGTCATTGGGGCTGCCTCGAGTTTCTGCAGCTCAAAACAAAACCTAGATGTAGAACTCTATGCGGGGTTCACCTGCTTCTTTTGCAAGGGTTGTGGTGACATCAGAACGCCAAGCTCTCATTGGTTCTGATTCAAGGATAGTGGGTAGACCTCAGGGCTTTGAAGTCTACCTTTCAATCGGAGCTCTCTGACATCACCGCAACTCCTGCGCAAGGAGCAGACGACTTGCTCTCCTTATAGGTTCTGTGGAGCTTTTTGTTGTCAAAATGGTCAAAAAGGCTACCAAAAAAATTCATATAATCCTAATTTTTTTGGCACTCGTTTTTTTTCTTAGGTTCATTTTTTAAGAAAATAATGTGTCTGACAAATAAACTTTTGCATTTGAGTCTGCTTTAATGTTTGCATTACTCAAGAGCCCACTTATACAGCTTTAGTTCTATGTATGCCCCCATATTGTAAACCTTTCCTTGGGAAAACAGGAGCATCAAAGAGACCCACAAAAGAGGCACTTTTCTTCTGGTCAGAAGAGAAGTCGGCTGAGTGGGATGCGCTTGACTCAATCCAGTGAGGACACTACCAGTCGTCAGCGTGTTTGCACCTTGCATACACTGGTGAAAGACACGCTCTAAAGTCCAACTTTGGCTTCTTGGACGCTCCTCTGGCACCCTTGAGTGACAGACGAGAATCACCAGCCACCCCTTAATAGGGTGGGATAAATCTCTAAACTACCTTCTGCGATAGTGTATTTATAGATGCTTAGAACTCAAGTTATGAGTTCTAAGCATCTTAAAGAACCAAACATCACATTCATGCGTGGCCCATTTCTCTATTAAAATCGGTATCAAAAGATTGACACCAGATGGCGCCACTGGACCCTCTGGTGTCTGCGATAGTTACGAGGTAATTTATCCTTTCATGCCCATTTTAATAGAGAAATCGGCCACGCACGAATGCAATGTTTGGATTTTTAGGATGCTTAGAGCCCATAGATTGAGTTGCGACCATAAATAGGCTATTGCACAAGGTGTTCAGGGCCCCTTTTATCTTAGAAACTATGAATGCTCAATTCAATGTCGACCTTTGTAGCATGGGCTACACTGGCCGAAGTTGAGCAGTTTCACGTGGCTCGCATAATGAGACAAGCTCTGTGCTGCGCATGCGCGAGGAGCAGTGACGTCACACGGCACACAGCTGGCGCACCGGAACCGCTGCGCCCGCCTGGCCGGTCTGCGCATTCCAGAGTGACGTCATAGTCGCGGCAGACGCACTGGTGCCATCGCGTGCCCAGCCGTGCGCCTCCGTTGCGCAGTAGCCAAGTCTGACACTGCCAAAGGCATCTGTTCTCACCGAGTACATACAAATATTTTATTGCCTTTTTGGAGCCCTTCTGGACGATACAGATATTTTGTGCAACCCCGAGAGCTTCGCATCATCGAGATTCTACGGTATCGTAATTCAGCGCACGAAGGTTCTGCAGGCAGCTCAACTCTCTTTCTACGGTTCTTGAGGTGAAAACAAGTAGAGAGGCCGGTTCAATAATAGCTGCACAGCCCTGATGCAAGAAGCAGTGCATAGAAAATGTGCTCACCAAGGTGACGAAAGCCACTCTGTAGTCGTTCTCTTTGATGAGGTAGCCCTTCCCCTCCGCCCTCTTGATTTTGCCTGCAGCACGTGGCAGAGAGATTTAAATTATCTGTTTATTCATTTCATTACCCAATGGAGCTTAGAGGCATTACAAAGGGGAGAGGATAAAAAGAAGCCATAGGGTATAAACAATTCTAGGATAAACACAAGCATTAGCAGAAATGTTCGGTTATTGCAATTTTCAATGTATCGAGCGATGGTATGGATACTAAAGATGCAGGAAGGCAGTTCCACTTGTATCACCAATTCGTTTCTCTTTTTTTAGTGGGCGATAGAAAACCATCTTTAGGTCTTTCTTTCACTGACTCAACTGTCTTCGATACGCATAAAGAAAAGACCATACACACCGCTGGTTTGTAAGGTTTTTTCTTTATGCATACTTACGTTCATTCTAGTTCGGCTGGCCTTACCTGAAGTACAAGCCAGCTAATATTACGATCTAATTCCGTCTATATATTTAACAAACTGGCCAGCAAACTTTGAAAGGAGCCAAGTCGCCGAAATCTGCTAACTTTAGCGTGCGACGTGAGGCACAATCAACAGCGCACTCAGCAACACGGAGTTTGAGCAGCCAACCACTACGTCAGAAGCATGTCTACATTCTTACGTTTTGTTTGTTTTCACTTTTAGGAGCAAAGTTGAACAATGACATCATGAGCTTCTCCTCTCGGTGTTGGCTTAACGGTGTCCACGTGATCACCATAACCCGGATGCGCTAGTTTGTGCTGCCCTGCGTGCCTCTCGGAGCCGAGAGCTGGGAGTAGTCTGTTTCGTCCCGCCGCTGTTGTAGTTTGAGAACGACGTCTTGTTCATGGTACGGGTGCGGGCCGCATCTCCGATGCCCAGCTGCGATGCCTGACGAAAGATTCATAGGCTCACGATGTTGTGTTGCCTGCCTGCTCGAATTACCAGTTGACCAGCCCGGGAGTTGTCTCTCACAAGTTTCAACACGACAGTGCGCCTCTGAATGTATGGACGGACATCCCGTGCTGGTGGAACTCCAGGAAGCCGTTGCCGCCAAATTGCGGAACAACGGTCTGTTCCGACTGCTTGTGCCATAACACTAACTAATTTTCTGTTACCAGCTAAATACAGAAACGTGCGTGAAAAGATCAGTTGCGCTGTGAAGCCAAACGAATGTGCACTGGAGCATACTTATCACTGCATTCACGATTTCCGCTGACTATTTCGCTATTGACCATAAACGTGTAGTCTGCCGTACAGCTTCATAAAGGTACACAATTCAGGCTACTAAAGCAGGAGACACATGCACGGTCAAACGACTACCGCGTCGGTTGCACTACGCGCCGGAGGTTTCCCTGTGTACGAGCATAACGTCTCGCACCTGCACAAACCAACGCGAAGACTCGGCCATTTTCGGTAAAATAAATGTAAAAAGGGAGTTCTATGTGCCACACCTACGAAGGGCATCTGGCACAGCCAAGCGGAGGCCTGCTGATTAGTTTGGACCACCTGGGGATCTTGTGACGTGTAACCGAGATCTTGGTTGCACGGCGCCTTCGCTGCAGTGAGCGTGCGTCACATTGTGGGCACCTCCATCGAAATTGCAACTCGAAGCGCAAGCTGGGGCCGCAGTGTCATCGTGGTGCAGACGTCAATGGATATTGTAACAAGCTACACTGGCGAAAATTGCGGAGCCGACGACACTTGCACTTTGCTCTACGTTGACCCGCCGTTGCATAGAGGATCACGTGACCTTTCGGACCATGTGGGTCGACGTGACGTGGATATGACGACACGAGATCAATGTTGCCCGTCTCAACCGAAGTTTCGGTATCTGCTGATGTTTAAACTAAGATTACAGAAATAATATTCCACATTTTGCGAGTCTGAAGATGAAGGGTTGTTTAGTAGTGCTTTTGGAAAATGGAATCAAATGTAAGCCTAAAATTTTTGGAATTGAGCGGAGTTGCCCTTTCAATGAGAATATGCAACCTGCATCATATTTTGATTTCGTCATCTGCCGAGCCAGGTACATAAGCCCTGCCCCCCCGAGGTTTCTGGAGGGTCGTTTTTGTATTTTAGAAAACATATACTGTAACCAATTTAATTTTCGCAAGGACCTAATTTTCGAGAATCACCTACAATTCACGAAAAATAGGTCCCGCAAACAATTCCGGTGAAATGTAAACACATTGAAATTTATTAAGATCATACCGCGCCGCAAAAATTAGAACCCGCGAATTATTCCAAAACTTCATCTTTGACCTAAATCGCGAGATTTTGAGCCCACGAAAAAGAGTTGTTTACAGTATATTACAAAAATGTTCTAAAAGATAAGACAATTTGCAATTTAAAACACTCCTGCTTAGCATAACACAGACACCAACAGAAGTGCGGAGGTTTTGTCATACGTATATACACTGTTTCATACTTAGCGTGCAACGCTGTCAAAGCTACTGGCGCGAGCACGTGGTTTCATCTATAGTTTTGTTTGCGCGAGAATGTGTGCAAATGATCAATGAGATCAAGCCCCATGCACGCACCAGTAGTTTTGACAGCGTTGCACGCTAAGTATGAAACAGAGTATATGTCGCATCCTTACTTTTGTTGGTGTCTGTGCAATGTTAAGCCAGAGTCTGTGATCCACACAAATCCAAATCCACCGATGGCAGTGGCACACTTGGCGGGAGAGAAACTCTGTGTACAGCTGCCTTCCAAACAGGGCCGGAGAAGAGGGAAGGGAGAACCTGCGTACCCAGCATGACGAATGTCTGGACCTGCGCCACGGGCACCTTGTAGATCTTTTCCAGGTAGTTCTTCACGTCATACTTGGTCATTCTGCGAGACGAAAGAAGGACCAAGAAGACTCTTGCATGCTGGGATCCAACGAAGAGCATAGTGATAGTAGTGAGAGTATTTTATTGCACTTAAAGGTTTGTGGGGCCGCTCGGTGTGTAGGTGAGGAGGGAAAGGCATGCGCCCATACATATATTGTGCCCCTTTCACCAACCGGACGGCGCTATGAGGAAGACTAGTCTAGACAAAAAAAAAGAAAGGTAAACACACACACACACGCACATGTGCACACGTACACACACACACACGCGCGCGGGCGGGGGGGGCGGGGGAGGACAGTAATCAGCTTTGATAACTGTTCTCGCAATAAGTGGTTGTAGCAAACGAGAAGTGTCCACATTGACACTTTCACATTCCATGAAAGCATGAACAGAAACTTTAGCCTGGCCCATTCGCGGCATACATACAGGGGTGGGAGCTTGAGCTGTTCCAGCATACATGAGACTGAGTACCATTGACTATAGCGGGATAAGATAAAACAAATTTTTTTCCAATTTATCAATTTGGTTTTTGTGGTACAGGTTTCATACCATGCAAGCATATTTCAAAGTTGGTATTATAAGAGTTGCATAAGCTGCTAGATTCACCTGACTAGTGGTACGCTTTAAATTTCGCTTTGAAGAGGTACAGAATCGAAACTTGAAATATCCCCGGAACACTTTGAAACGAATAAAATATTCTCCATGATATCCATAAATGATAATCAGACGCTCGTATTTTCGACGGATGGCTATATTTTTCGTTCCAACCGAAGGATTCCGGCGAGAGCTTTAAAATCAGTCATCAAGGCGGTGCGATGCGCATCGGGATATTTGCCCGCGACGTCAGGCTCGCAACATTGCAGGCCCATGAACGGCCAAGGGTACCGTAATTTCGATCGTCGTCACTTGGTGGCTTAAGCTTTATCATAAATGTGTTACAATCCTGCCAAGCAGGAATATTCGAGGTATGCTGTACTAGAACTCAGAGGTGTGCCAAGCGCCGCTTGTTCCCAGACGCCTCCATCGGACATGCCGTTGTGCTGCTACTGATGGGTCCGTGGCGTCGCAAATTCCAACGAAGCTCGGCCCCCCCAACTACCAGGCGGTATTAAAAAATTAATTTTAAAATTGCTTTTCTTGCATTTACAGACGAAAGACTCGTTTTTGTGAGCTGCTGTTATAAAATCATCTATGCAAAGAAATAGATGCTAAAATTTCCCTCCTGTACACCTTTATGAACCATAACTTTTTTTCTAGCCGTATTGCACAAATTATTGATGTGGCGTTTCCCCGTTAAATCTGCCGACATTCTAACTCCCAAGTACTAACACGCTTCCAAAAGAGATTTTTAATTTTTTTTAATATTATGGCGTTAGAAGACTAAGCGATAAATATTTTGCTCCAGTCACATATTTTTAGTTAAGTCAAAACACGCAACTGCTCGAGACCGAAATACGAGCATGGAGTTACTGGCCACGACAGACACGTGGAGAGAGTTGCCAAAAATCGTGTAACTACACCCAACCGTTTTTGTTTCATTTTTAATTTTTATGGCTGTGCAAAGTGAATAGAAAATGTGCAAGAGTCAAGCACTTCATGCTCGACGTTTGCGCATTTTTTAAGTTTTTAGCAATTCGTGTTCATAAGAGGAGTGATGACTTTAGCCAGAAGGGGTGACGACTATGCGACTTCATGAAAATCAGCTTGGTGCTCGGGCGTGTCGTACGAACTAAATTCTAATTGTTTTGGTCGGTAAACGATTTCTCTTTCGAAGCTAGACAGATTTGCCAGCACTGCAAATGACAGTTCCGAAGTAGAGGCCCCACGCCCGTCGTCACCGCTTAATCCAATTTGTCCAGCCGTCCCGCCCGCGTGTTCAGCGATACGACGCCATCTTGAGAATTACACGGTACATGTCCTTCCGGGTATACCGTGCAGCTTTATTTTTTTCAGTCGATATATTGGCAGTTTTTTTAGAAGCCACAATAAATGGGTTTTATATATCCTCCCATTTTTATTACAAAGTGTATGTCTTTGATGACCAACGACTTTGGTTACATTTCATATGTGCGTCTGAACGGCATGCGACCGCGAAGAAGAGACACAGCTTGATTCAAACCGGCCAGTTCTCAATAAACCATTTTAAGGAGAAAAAAAAATTAAAAATTTTGAGCCACAAATTGTGTTTCGGGTAGCTGGGCTCTCACGTCATGTATACAAGTGAAAACCTCAGTGAGCATAAATACCTTGTCAGCGTCCCTTTCAGGTTGTCAGATGATGTATACGGATGTATGTTTTTTTACTCGCGATTCTAACGGACATAGTTTTGTCGGGGTCTACTTTCATTCCCCATCTCTCGTACCATATTTGTACCGAGTCAACCGACAAATTTTAATCATCATGATTTAAAGGGCATTCTACTTTAAAGCGTTTAGCAATACGTCGTCTGCGAACATTCTCACCGTGACACTGGAGGTTACTTTGTCGGTGATATCGTCAATATAACATAAAAATAAAACAGGGCCCAAGACAGGGCCCTGTCGGACTCCCAACAGAACTCTCCAAGTTGCTGACACATTTCCATATATAGTTACAAACAACTACGTCCTTATTACCACAGTACGGAATTAGTTTTCCTACAAGTCCATCATGATAAAAGGAAAATCTAGGCAAACCCAATTAATTTGCCCTCTTTCAATCGAAGAAAAATCATCAAGCGTTTCTATTACCTGCGTCACTGTTGCAAGACCACGTCAAAACCCATAATGATGAACAACCTGGGCTGGCATGCTTCGCCTTTCTTTTCTTATATTTGCTTCGACTCATTATTCTTTCCCATCTAAGGCATCGCTAACTGTGTGCATGATTTGTCGGTGAAGTGACAATTATAGCGTACGCAATTTTCGGTGTCTGTTCCCACTTCATTTTTTCCGGTACCGGCGGTACTCGTAAAATAAAAGTAAATATGTACGACGCAGAACGATGCTACGGTGTGGTCGCTCGATGTCGCCGCCGCGTGCTTTCCGCAAAAGCGAGACGCGACATTCAGTCAAAAACGAGGGTCTACCAGATCTGCCAAGGTCGGGAGATCACGCACTGCAAGGGTACGACGAACTTGACCGTGTTGGGGGGCTGCGGTTTCCCGTGCTTCACCAGCTTCATCCAGAAGTTTGGCAGGAATATCCGCAGCTGGGGATTCCCCTTGACGTACTGCGGGTACCTGGGAAAAAAGCCACACGCCCTTTGGGCCCCGCGGTTCTCCGAGCGAGTGCTTCGAGCTCGAGCAGAGCTAACCCGCAGTTACGCACAGCAAGGGCCACCGCCCGGCGGCCTTTTCACGACCCCAACCCACAAGGGGCTTGCACGGGCCGTTCTCGACCTCAAATTAGCGCAAATAAGCCTGTCAACGCCGTGTCACGCAACTTTTCGCAAATGTGTATTTAGGCAGTGCACCGATCATACTCCACATTCCCGAGTGTAGGTTCCCGAGGAAAAAATGTAAGAAACAATGTGAGAAACTCGTTTTTTTTCTACACACTGGAGGAAAAGAGAAGCAAACCGTCAGATTGACGCCACTACTCGCACATGGCACCAGACGGTACAAAAACCTGCTTCTAGAGAAGGCAGATCCAGCTGGACCGACCGTTTGTTTAATTTTTCTCTTGAGGGTAGGAAAACAAACAACTTTTTATTTTTCACTCGACCTCACATAATTTGAGCATGATCGAAGCACCACTTAAAAGACCTTCGTGAAAAGTTCCACGGCACTGTGTTCATTGGATCATTGGATTTACACGATTAATAGTGCTCGAGAACAACCCGTGGGGAAAGGGGGGGGGGGGGGGGAGACGACGTAGTCGGCCCAAAATTTGGCCACCGGCACAGAAGGTAAGAGACCAATCTCGGCAGCCGGTTTGAGTATGCCACCGCTGCAGCAGTGCACCAAGCGAACTTTAGTCTTTCTGCACGTGCAGCAAGCTCGCCGGAGCTGCATGCGTGTAGAGCACAAGACGGCACGAGCCAGCTAACACTGACGGCCGCCTCCTGCTAACCAAGGTTATGGAGGCATCACACATGCGCCTCCTATACACCTTTCCAAGAAACACTCGACCCCAGGGGCAGCAAACCGTTTTCGAGCCCAGTCGCTGGATTAGACGCTATACTCTCACTGGCGTCCCTGCTAACCCTAACTTAGTGGACTGTGATTTCGATAGGCGCAGCCTGCCTAGGCACAGTTTCAAACGCTGCTGGCGGCTAAATTCTCGTCTTTTCCCGCTGTATGTTGTGTTTCATGGTGCATGTATTTTCCCGAGGTCACTGAGAAAGCATTGTACCACATTTGAAAGAAAAAAAAAAAAAGCAATAAAAAACCTATAAACTATTTCTGTTGGGTATGCGCGCAACAGAACAAATGCGACTGGAATGTACAGTTCCGGTTATTTGTGCATTTTTTTTACGATAAGTTTTGACGGCGCCACGCAATTTTCCGCATGTGAAACAACAAAGCGCTTAGTTGTCAAAAATAAATTACAACAGAAGAGAGCTGAAAGGCATGCATTTTTCACGCTCACAAATAATGTGTTTACCGATGGACAAGACACGAACATACAATTTACAAAGTGTTAACATTCAAACAATATATTGTACATACCACACGATGCAGTATTATCTGAAAATAATTTATTTGAGAAAGATCTCAAATAACACAGTCACAGTCGACGACAGTCACTTCTTGACGATCGGATGGAATCCAAGATGACTTCGTTCTCACGTTTTGGGGACAGCTTCCTTTTTCTCACAACAGCACTAACGCAAAGAATGAACGCGACTGACCTGTTTCCCACCCCAACTCAGACAACTATTTTTGGAGATGACTGAGGATTCTACGCAGATTATCTCTGGGAGGGGGGAGAACAATGTTTGCAAAATCGTGTCGAGGGTCGTTCGACGTCCTTCACGTCCTTCGTTTCCCGTGAATGTCGAGCAGAAAAGCTTGAATGGCAGGCACTTACCAGCCTTATTTCTCACAATGGAAGATAACACAAAAACGGTACGCAGCACGCATAAAAAAATTTAAGGGGAAACTTTCAAGAGGGGCGAGAAAATGTTGATTGCAAAACCGCAAAAATGTAGGTAGAGAACTGCGCTGAGCAGGTCTTCACAGTCCAAGAGAGTGGCAGAAAATTTCTAGCTGATAGAGGGCGCGAGAGTTGCACCAGCTGCATCAGCATCGGCAACATGGCGGCGGTCTAGGAGCGTTTTTTGGAAAGGTGTATAGTACTAGGGGTGTCGCGAACCGGCCGCGGTTTGAGTTCGACCAGGTTCGACTTTTTCGAACTTTTAGTGGAAAGTTCGACGAACCTTGTATTGAGGTTCGACTCGTGTGCACATGCGCGACAGGCTGGCCAGTTGGCTTCGGATTGGATGGTAATGGCTAAGAGGTGAATTAAGTGCAGCGCTGATTGGATATTTCAGTTAATACAATACTAAAAATTAAGTTATTAACTTCTTCAGTGATTATAATTAGTTTCTTGTAATCGCAGCTTTTCAAAAAATAAAAAAACCATTTGTATGAAAAAAAAATTCTCCAAACCTAGACATGCTTGTATCAAGGGCTGGCCACACTGTCCACAAAGTTGAACCGGTCGAATCTGGTGGAAAGTTCGAAGGTTCGTCGAACCGGTTCGACTCAGTCGAACCCCAAAAGTTCGACCAAAAAATCTGGTTCGACAAAAGTTTGCGACGTCCCTAATAGTTACACGACGCCCGTCGGCTCCGAGCCACGATGGAGGGAGGGCAAATGGTATCTCTAGCTTTATGTGCGGTGAAGCCACCTAAGCGAGTAGTGAAGCCGACCACCTCCTCCGCGGGAGATCCCACGTTGCTGTGCCGACGGCACACCCATTTAATAACTTGACCGACAGTCTAAAGCTCAAGACCACCTCACGGTTTTGGGCAGAATATTATTTCCTCTTTTTATCATTCACCCGCAAACAAGTCGGCGCCAACGGTAATCGCCAAAGGCCCAAACTGCCTCCGAAGCAGCTGACATTTGCGCTGCACAAGCGCCGCCTGGCAGTGCTCATCTGGAAAAGTGTTCCACATGTTGTTAATACAATATATTTGGAGGAAAACAAACGCAACCTTTGGGGAAGTAGGTTGCTTCCAGTTGGCTATTGTTTTTGTTTGCCTTTGAGAGCCGGCAGTTAATAGCACATACTTTCAAAGTCTCACCACCAAGGAGCAACTGCACTTCCTCCTCAAATTTACACTTACGGGATCGACATTCTTTTCCCAATCCCTTGGATAAAACAAAAAAGCACTTGTCCCTCAAAGGAAATAAAAATCTGCCGAACGTATTGTGGGCGCATCTTCACGACTACCTACTCAAGACGCATGGTCTACCTATCTGAGAATGACTTAAAACCCACGAGACAAACACATTCTATGTAAACGGCGAGGCATCGGCGATGGGCACCTACCTCACCCAGGCGCCCAAGATACGTGCCAAGCTTCCTCGCAGTGATCGCCCAGCCAATCGGTTGTAGCGGCCAATGTTACGAAAGTTTTCATTACGGTTCCTTCAGTATGACGAGAGTTTCTGTAATGCACAATTTTCTAATGTTTTGATTTGCATGCTTCGGTGTTCGAGGTTTCTTTCCCAGAGCACCGTGTCCCCTCACATTTACATGTGCCGTAATGGCCCGGATGGCACCCATCATGGTCAGTAGCACAGCATCCTTGTGTGTGTCCCATCACACCATCTGTCAGCGGCACATCGAAGTAGACTAGCACCGTCTGCTGATCATCCTGAGATCACCCAGGCTCAGCAGCGTCCCTCGACTCAAAATAACCGAAAGAAGTTCACTCGTGACAATGTTTGTGCCAGTGTACATCGACCACTCAAAAGCATGACACAGAGGAAACTCTAGAGCATAGCTCTCACGCAATTGCTCGCTAGAGAACCAACAGTCGTCACGCACCCAGAAAAACATGGCGCGAACACCCTGTACAGTACATCTTCAATAGTAATGTAAATTCTGCATGCTAGTAAAATAAAAACCGATGGCCGCTTGGCGGCGCTACTTGTCCACTCAAGAATGTTGTGAGGTGGAGGATCGAGCCTCTCGTGGAGAAAAGCCGACAGGCCGAACGCTCCTTTATAGAGTTCATTTCACACGCACTGGCACCGTTCGAGTTCTCTCCCAGAATGCATTGAAATCACGGAGTGTCGCACGGAGAACTGGCCTCAAACAAACTTGCCAAATGCATTGAGTACAAACTGATGCTGTCGTCATCTATGTTGTAGAATGAGTACCTCAAACCGAAACTAGCACCTTTCTCTTCAACCTAATGGGTGGGAATGCGAGAGTGCAGTCACTACCTATAAACGTTGGTCGCTGCAACCTGTAGTTTTTGTGTGCGACAACCTCAAGCAACTCGGCTGTCATAGAGATATCTACAGACGGCGTAAATTTCTGCAACCAGCTGAATACAAAGCAGCTGGTTGCAATCTTTCAATTCTTATAACCGTTTATACTGGAGAAAATTGACGATGCTGTCTGTGCAGAAGCTTGATCCGTTTGAACATGGTATTATGCGTGAAGCACCGAAAGGGTACGGCTTAAAACTTGCATGTTGGAATATCCAGCAAAACGTTTGGTGGGACATTCGATTTTGATCGTCGTTACAGGTCGATCAGATTTTAGCCTTGGTGAGGGTGTCGAGAACGAGAGCTTTCTCAAACAAAATACAACGGGGGCAAAATAGCTGACGTAGGTAAATTTTAAACATGATGATGTTGACCAAACCTCGGGTAAAGTCACCATGTTTAGCTTTCTCTGATGCTTACTGGGCAGTCGCAGGTCTCTGCTGGGGGAGCTTTGTCGACAAATGTTAAATTTTTCACCCGCACACGGATGGTGATAGACATCTCGGGGGCCGCTGTTGAGTTTGTTCTGAGCATTTCTTTACACGCCGGTATATTTCAGCGTCTAGCTGTACGGCAACAGAGCGACCAAAAACTTTCAAATAAAGCACGGGTTGTCAATGGCTTCCTTCATGAAATAGCAGACGCTCACAATTCAAGCTCGCGTTTGATTCCTATGCCCGTGGGACACAATTTCTACCAGAAAATCTATTTTTTTTTTTTTTTTTTTTGTACGAACGGATACATCGTAGCAGACGAATCGTTGTCGTCTGCTCCCGCTCGTCGTTGGAGCGAGGCATGACGGGATTGCATTTTGCCACACGCTCGATTTTTCTCGGTGCAGCGCGTGCATTCACGCGTGGGGTGCCGCCGCTGAAACGAAATCGGAGAAAGCAACCACACGTGGAGCGCCGGCCAAAACGAACCCGCTCCACGTTGCGAGTGGGCACGCGTGGACACACAGCGGGGAAGTCTCACGGGTCTTTGAAGTGCATCGCGATTTCCTCCCTCGGATAAGTTCATCCTTTAAAATATGGACCACCTAAGGGCTTTTCTGTACAGTCAGATGAGACTTTTACGGCCCGCTTAAAGTAGGTTTAAGCAACATTTAGACGGGAAATGAGAACGGAGCTGGTGCATCCTCGGGAAGTCGCTCTTCGGGAGAACGTAGCCATGCCGAGGAAAAGCACGCTCGGCATGTTGTACAGCGCTTACAACGTCAGCTCTCCTTGCAAAACAAGTTGTTTCTGGTTTCGCCTAACATCATTACGCCTATCAGGCTAACGAGAACAACCAAATGAATGTTCGAAGATCTTTTAACGTGACCAAAAGTTGGTAGGAACGTTTACTTACAAGCGCGACGACATCTTGCGACTGCGATGCCTTCTGGTGGGGTGGGCCGTGGCACGGTGGTCTCATCCACCCGCGCTACCCTCCGGTGTCTGGTTGGCCCAAGGTTGGCCTCACGAAGTTATTATAATGCATTATAATAACGTACAAATACGTACATTATGATAACCATATATTCGGCCAAATCAATGCCAAATCATAAAAATAATTTTCAAATATTTATTACATAGATGGATGGATAGATGATGTTTTATGCTCTTTGTAACGGGCGGTAACTTGCGTCACCTATCCCCTAAAAAAAAAGAAATGCTTTTTTTCCTCCAAATACCCGATTTCTACATCCCCGCCATGCCTGCCATTATCACCGTGCCGGGGGAGTGAAGCACCAGGCTGTTGGGGATCGGGAGAATACAAAATAAAAAGAAAAGGGGAAAACGCGCCCCACCTTTTTTTCCGGCGTTGTTGGGGTGGAATCCCGGAGAAAAGCTCACCGGAGAAAAGCTCACCGGAGAAAAACTCACCGGAGATAAGCTCACCGGAGAAAAGCTCACCGCAAAACCGGCGGATGCGGAGAAAAGCTCACCGTTCATTGAGCGCATGCTAAGAAAACCTCACCGATTTTTTTTTCTTCTTATATGGAGGTTGTTGGGTCAAGCGAAACATATTTCAATTTATTATCATTAAAATTCGTCATCTTTGTATAAAATAAAATGTCATTTTTTTTTTGTAATATTTTAAGCTTATTGGGTATATTGCTCCCAAATCAATAATTGCAGGTGTGTGTTTTCTGTGGCTTACTCTCCAAGCAACGAAAGCCTGACTGAAAACTTTATGAACTTGAAGAACTTGAAAGCCTAAAAATCTAAACTGTAAATGCCGAAAATCTCAAAGTGCTTGCGCAACAACGCGATGCCTGAAATGATGAAAACCACTGAAACGACGAAGACGGAGTGAAGACCACAAACACGACAGAAGCAAGCTGTTCTCGGAACTAAAGTTTTGTTAGTGAAATTAACAGAAGGAAAACAGCGTAGCCGAAATTGATTACATCAACAAACACCTTCTTATCTATTAGGCACTACACAATATTTGGAGCTGAAACGGTTCACACACCGCTATTCGTATTAGCTCGCGAAGAACAAACCTCTTTATCTGACAGAGCTACCGACGACGCACTGTCAGCTGTCAATAAATTGTTCTTTTTTTACCGCAGTACGATGTTCTGATTTTGTACTTGCGACTTCATTAATATACAGAATGGGTGCTTACTTAGTTCCGAGGAATTAGTGAATATCCCCAATGAACTTCAAGAATATTACAAAAAAAAGGACATATTTTTAATGAAGTGACGAATGCGAATTGTGTTAAATTGACACGTTTGACGAAAAACCCGCTAAGTTAAAAAATTTGGTGAGCTTTTCTCCGCATCTGCCAGTTTTGCGGTGAGCTTTTCTCCGGTGAGCTTTTCTCCGCCGCCCCTTGGGGTGCTTTCCAAAACCGAGACCCACCGAGAGACAGGGTTAAGACTTTGGGCCGGAGCCACGTGGGAGGGACTCCCAATTTTCCTCTGTCCTCCCTGTCTCCAGTTGTGCTAGTTGCTTTTACCAATTTCAGTTTTCCCTAGTCTCCTTCCACCAATGTTCCAACCTCCTTTCCGTTACCTCAACCCTTTTATGATCCACCCTTCCATCTTCTCCACCGAAATCCAAAAACCCATCTATGTCTGTTCTCTCCTCAGGGAGGGCAGGTTGTATCTTCGAATTTTTTTCCTATAAGTCTTCGTTCTTAGTGCCCCAGTTTTGGCCTCAAACAGCTCCCCCGAGAATTATCAAACAAATTGTTTCTTTCCTTATTTTTTTGTTTTTGTAGCCGATTTCTTTCCCACATTTCTCTCTGCATCCTTAACTCTGTTTTCTACAAACTATTGTTTCACTGCCCGCCTGTAAAAATTTGTTTCCGAGCTTTCGAGTCCGCTCATCTGCTCCATATCAGTTAGCCTTTGCTCAAACTTTACTTGTTGCCTCTCATATGCTCTCAAAGGATGCCCAATTCCCATACCCCCCTGTACCAGGGGCGGATGCAGGAATTTCCTAATCGGGGGGGGGGGGGGGGTGTCAGGTATTGGTCAGCGTACCGTATGTTCAGGAACCCCCTCCCCCTCTCCTTCGTTTTACGCCCTAAATTTTACATGCAGAAATCAAGAGGGGGGTCAGGACATCCGGACCCCCTCCCTCTAAATCCACCCCTGCCCTGTACCCTTCATTTGGTGTGCTACCATGTGCCCCTAAAGCTAACCTGCCTACACTCCTTTGCCTTACCCATGGGCAGATCCAGAGGATCCCCCAAAGAAAAGCCAGGATTAAAAAATGAAAGCCGTTTACAAGTCCCTGTAATGCCGAATTAGAGCGCAGCTCTTGAGGAGGAGGAGGGGGGGTACTGGGGGGAGGGTATGCCCCTCCTCCTCCACTCCTCCCTCCCCTCTTCCCCTTTCGTCCGCTTCCTCCCTCCTCCTCCTCAAAATCTAACCTCCTCCCCTCGCGTTGAATCATGGGATGTTTCCCATAATGCAACGCGTGACGTGAGGTCACGTGAAGCCTGTGTGGTCATGTGACTCGGGAGGTCACATGACCCTCGTGAGGTCACGTGACCCTTGTGACATCACAAGTCCTGCACGTTGCATTATGGGACATTTCCCATAATGCACTGCGCGGTTACGCCGCTCACGCCGGAAAGAAGCACCTAAAAGCAGCGCTATTAAAAAAAAAGGGGGGGAGGGGGGTGAAGAGAGGGAACACTCGCTGCACACCTCATTGCGTGTTGGATCTACATTTATATAATAGTAGAGAGAGCAGTCGTTCCTCCCCAGCAACACAAAGTGTCGCGATTCAAGGCACAATGACCTCTCCCGCTTTGAAGCAATATGGTACAACGGAATCTTGAATTAACTATGTGCCCACCTTGCACAACCTAAGACCATGGTTTAGGTTTTTCGGTACATCCCTATGAATAGGGTTCCGCATTTTCGGTTTTTATTTTTTCGAAATTTGGCGTACTTTTTTCGGTGTTTATTTTAAGATTCAATTTTCGGTGTATATTTATGCCCACAAAAGTTTAGTTTCTTTCTTTTTTTTTTTTTTTCGGTGAATATGAAAGAAACACTATCGGCCACCGCATCAGATGATCCTTGTAACTCTGATATTTGTGATCCCTCAAGGAATAATGCCACATTGACATTAACAAAAAACAAAAAAAACAGTAAAAAAAAAAAACATTGACACTTTATTTGGCAAATGTAAGCAACTGTAAAAAAAATGAAAGCCATTTACAACTCTCTATAACGCCGAATTAGAGCTCAGCTCTTGAGGAGGAGGAGGAGGAGGAAGGTATGGAGAGGGGCTATGTCCCTCCTCCCCCCCGCTTGCCCCCATTTAGATGAAAATTTCCCCGCTAAATCAAGCGGGGTAAATTTTTCGCTAGATTTAGTGGGGAAGTTTTCCACTAGATTTAGCGGGGAAATTTTCCGCTGAATTTAGCGGGGAAATTTACCCATCATGCACTGTGCGGTTATGCTGACGGCGACGCCACTCAAGCCGGAAACGGGTGCCTAAGAGCTGCGCTCTAATAAAAAGAAAAAAAACCACAGAAGTACAAACAAGTGTAATAGAAAAACTGGATGGTTTATTTGGGAACAGTTATTAAAACGTATATTGGTACAAACTTTGAAACTTGGGTGCGAGCCGGATGCCCATCCGACCGCCTCGATGGTCTCGATAAACGCAATATGGCGGATACTCAAGAAAAAGGCGTGATGTCCATTACGCTAATGCTGACACTAACACAAGTTAGTGCCTAACAAACATGGAACTTCACCTTCTGTACATCAGGATTATGTGATCTTACACATATGTACTTTCCCAGGTTCTCCTCGTTGATCCACGCTCATTCTTTCCTTTTATGACCCTGGGCCTTGAGAATGCCCTTTCAACATTAACATTGGACACCGACACGCTGAGGAGACGAAGCGCTGCTTGATCCAAAATAGGCCAATCAACCAAATCTGACTACCAAGAGACACGGTGCGACGTTTTGAAGCACCACATATTTCGTGTACTCACTAAACTCTGGTTGCAGATCTTGCATGAAGCAAAAAACCTTATACTAGCCGGGCCCACACCTAAACTTTTGTTTTTTAGGACCAGGGACTTGACAGACTCAGCCCGATCCCAGAAAGGACACAGCTGTCCCATGAAGGACAACCCAAGACCTCTTTTGTTGCATGTTGAACCTTGGAAGAGGTCATTTATGAAGAGGTCACACAATGTCCAACCTTGCAATGCCCCATCTCCCCTCCCCCTCCCCACCCTCCCCCGCCCATCTCAACACGACCCTAAAAACTGAATATTTTCAGTTAAAACAGAATTTTAGAGAATAGATTCGGCATACTTTTATCGGTTTCTCTCATCACGTGTGCGGCGAACGCATTGCTATGAAGAAACCGCCACCGCGCCTGCGCGCCGATGGCCTTGGCTGTAGAGTTCCGGGTAGCGGAGGGGGAAACACGGTCTACTAAAACTCGCTATTATGTACTATTATTAAACCGAAAACTCCGAACCCCACCTATAAACCACGAAAATTACCCCCCTCCCCTAGTCGGCTATATCAAAATCCCCCCTCCTGTCCTTGAATAAGAAAAAGCAACCTTTGTGGGAAGAAAATCTTCATCTACACTTTTATTTTGGCACAAAACACTGCCTCCATTGAACTGTCCGCGAGGCTGGTTTTTGCTCTGGATCCCCACATCTCGTTTCTTTTTCTTGTTGGTACGGGGATGTTTTTCGATTATTCAGGTCACGCAAATGTTCCACGGCGGTTGGGGAATCACATGCCACATTTTCTTCAACATAATCTCCGACAAACCGTTTTTTTTTGTCCAACACCAAAAGCTGTCACCGAGGAACACTGCGGGAAAAAGTAAACCTTAAAAAAGCATCCACGAATTCTAAAAGAAATAACCCTGAAAACACGAAACCCTACCTACCAAGACAGCGCTCTGGAGGTCGATTAGGCTGTGAACAAATCGGAGTTTATCAGGACTTGCGTTGAAGAATAAAGGGCATAGGATTCCCTTATCCCAAATAGAACATTGCGCATGAATCCCATGCCGACAAGAGAAAGAAAGGCGATAAGGAATCCGAAGGAAGCAGCAGCCTTGCGGACAGTTCCATGTGGGCAGTGTATAAAGCTGCAATACAGGTTTTCTTGGGTTTCCGATGTTTAAGGGCAGCTCAAACTCAAGATTTTTTTTTTTTTTTTTTATAAAACCAGTTTGGAGGTTAATTTTGGGGTTTTTCAGTACTTATCATGTGCGACAGACCCTCTGTTCACCGGTGCCGAGTTAAATTAGACATATCTTTCGGATCCTCCTAATAAATTCTAGATTTTCAGATTGCCACAGGAAATTTGTGCGTCGGCTATTATGTGACGAAACATTTGCCAAGAAGCACTACACCAGAATGCGTGGTACAATAAGGCCTACGAAATAAGTTGGAATATTTTATCAAATTATATGTCCAGAGTAGACTTTTAGCCAGACTTAATTGTCCTCCTTGTCCCCACCCTCCAGGCTAAAAATAATGTCTATACTCAACCAGCTCCGCCTGCACCCTCGGTTTAACTAAATAACTTAAGGGCAATATAAAAAGGCTTACCATTTTCATATCAAACCCCCACCCTTAAGCAAACTGTTTTACAGAAACCAGCCTAGCCGGCTCCAATCACAGGGCCATTGCGACAGAAACCTCTATGAACTTCCCAAAATCGGGCATTCATAGCAAACAAACATTTTGTTGAGCTCGATCTCAAGCACCTCAACTCGCTTTTCCACCTCACTCCATGGAGAATGATGTTCCAGGAAGACAACACCTAAGATGCCTAGTCTCTGGATAGATATTATGCGTGCCATAGAGACCGAGTGCATCCCAGCAGTCCGTCATAGGAACAAAAGTTGTGCACCCTGGATCACGAAAGAAATCTTGCACCTAGCCCGCCAAAAACCTTGGCTGTTCACCAGGGCCAAGAACAGCAGATGTGCCGTACGCTCAGCGCTGCCCACGCTGCATGAAGAGACCTGAAGAAGGTCATCTGGAAATCTCGCCAGAACTACGCCTTCAGTGGCAGAACGCACTTTCAAGGATCCAAAAGCGTTTTTGGCATATGTAAGAAAACACAAAAGGAGCACAAATGCATTAGACACACTTTGCCCTCAAAGATACTGAGGCTGCAGAACTTTTGAGCAGGCATTTTGCTAGTCTGGACACCACCCCTACCAGATCAACAGCTCCCACTTTACCCAGACTCGAATACCCCAGCTGATTAAGTCCAACCCACTCTGATCACAATCTCTATCAGCACATCCGACGAGCAGGAAGCCCTAACTTGGAGGAAACCATCGCAGTCGCCAGGTCCAGACGGCATCCACCTTGTTCTTCTGAAAGCGAGCCAGCAAGTTCATCTCACCTATACTGGCACGTCTATCCCAGCAAAGTCTGGACACTGGAAAGGTCCCAAGCACGTGGGAAATGGTGTATATTACGCCTGTGTACAAGGGAAATGAAGGTCCAGCTCACAAGCTGGAATCATATCGGCCCGTCTCTACCTAATCGGTGGTGTCATCAACCAGGCGATACAGAAGCACCTTGACAGCCATTCCTTGCTCTCACCAGCACAGCATGGCTTTCGTCCTGGTAGGAGTTGCGAAACCTCACAGTAATACACAGGATCAGCGACAGTCTCAACAGCGCAGTGTCACGCAAACTCGTACAGCTGGACTCTACAAAGGCCTTCGACAAAGCTGACCACACCCTTTTATGGAAGAAACTTGGGCGTGCCGGTTTTCAGGATTGACTTCTACTTTGGCTATCAGCCTTCATCTCCAGCAGATGTGTATACCACAATGGCACCCCCTCATAACCTCAATCTGTCATATCTGGAATCTCAAACAGTGTTGTTGGCCCTACACTTTCTCTTTGTTTATCAACGGCCTCATTCCCCATATAAACTCAACTACTGCGCTATATGCCGATGACCTCACACTCGTTAAACCGATCAAGTCAACCGAAGATTACGATGACCTTCAGCAGGACCTTGTCGGGGTACACATATGGGCCACCGTAAACAAATTACCCCTCAGTGCTTCTAAATCTAAACCAGTGTACTTCAGAAGCCAGACAAAGGCGCTATGCCCAGTTCCCTCTCGAGGATCAACGACCAAGTTATCAACTGCAGCGACATCAAGATACTCGCAGTAACCCTGGACACCCGGTTAGCCTTCTCAAATCATGTTCACTCTATTGCAGCGCATTCCCGCCGTTTGCTGGGGTTCATACAAGGCCTAAGACCCATTGTGACGGTGAAACTCGACACCGTCCTTGTTCTGCCCATCTTGGAATACTGATCGGTCCGACACCCTCGATCCACGTCAGCACAAGAAACTCTGGAGCGGATCCAGCGGGAAGCCGCATACAAGGTCTACGCCTAGAGTTCCCCGACCCCTAGTCTCTAACCATGAGACATTTCGACAAGCCAGCTATTTAGATTTTCAGGATGGACAAGCCTCGCTACCAGGAGAGACATGGCAACCCTGAGACTTTTAGAAACTATCATTGGGCCAGGAATAGCCCAATATGACTACGTGAGCACAGTCCCACGCAGGAACCTCTGTACCGGTCAACTGGAGCCACTGCTCGCAAGAACCGAGCGCCACGCAGGCTCGTGCCTTGTCCGCGCTGTACAACTATGGCATTCAATGCCAACAAGAATTGTTAGCATGCCCATTAGTAACAGACCGGAAATAGTGGAACTTTTGTCGCGAGGCTGGAGTACACCTACAGTCAGGCGAATAACCCTGCCCAATCTCTCTTGGTGCATCACTGCTCTGCCCTTCATTGTACCTCAGTGCACGTTTTAACATAATTACCTTCTCCAGACAGGCGTCACAGGCATTATTGTACGGGCTACATGCTTTTCTGCGGTGCCTGCACTCAGGAGCACAAATAAATACCAATATAAATGCTACGTTGCACCATACATCGTAGCATGAATGATGCAACGATACAATGGTTAGGATGTATGGACGTGTACATTCAATTCATCGCATGGATGATTAAATCGACAGATCCCCAAGGAATGGGGAGCGGCTTGCACACCTGGCAATGTTACTAACACAAACAGTTCATCTACAATAGTCCGGGCAAAATAATTCCTAGAACACCCCAAACTTTTATCACATTGTTTTGCTGCAAACTGTACGATAGGTAACCGATAAAGCACGCATGCAGTCTATATTCTCCGTAAGTATTTCATGATTCCTAGTTTTTCAGGCACATAGAAGAATGCTACCGAAAAACGAGAGATTTGTCTCTCCGCGAGGATGTCGGAACCACAGATATCCAGTAGTCAAATGGAAGGAATCGTCCGCGAAATGATTTGAAACAGCCAGGGTGTACCGATATATATATTTATATATATATATATATTTTTTTTTATTCGCTTCCAACAGCTATGTTTCATTTCCCCCTTGGACAGCAGCATCAACAACCAGAAACCCATTCTTTGAAAGGGGGAAAAGAAACCAAAAAAAAACAACGATGCAGTGACTTTTTTGCAGACAATATCGTGGGCCAACGAGGTGGTGTCACGCTATTTACATTTGTGGTGACAGGCACTGAAACGACGAAAAACGGAACAGGGTACAATGACCCACCCCGCAACACTCTTTCCAAGCAGGGGGGGGGGTGGCACGGCCAACTGGTGGCAGCGCGTCCAAAGAGCGGGCCGCTGGCAGTGCACTGCAAGACTCGTTTGGGAAGTGCATACCTACGTTTCCTTCTTTCGAAAGCTCGGCTCTGGGTTCAAAGTAAATGCCGCGTACGGCGAAGGTGTAAACAAAATGCGGGTGAGCAGAAATAAGCTGCCCAGTGGTGTCCCCGTGCGTTTTCGAGGCCGGGTCACGCGTGCACCCCAGCACCGATTTAGTGCTGCATCGGCACCACTGTTGGGGCCCTGCATTGCGTCGTGTGTGTGAACCAGGAAGGGTCAGCGCCAATACAGCACCGATGCAGCAGAAAGTCCGCACTGTGGCTATGGTGCCGAGTTAGCACCTTGTTGTACGAGTGAGCGGGCCTTTATGAAAAGCCAGACATTTGAATCCATCGAAGCTAGTGGTGCTTGGCAGGCACACCAGTCACTGCTCGGTTGCCTGAACCACTTGACCCCAGTCGAGCGTGGACAAGCTCCCTCCTTCCAGGCAAGCCACCTTGCAACTCTGCGTTCCATTTACGCTCGACAGTAATCGTGGTCGTACTTGCGGTGCTCCCATTGGCCGTCTTTGCGCCGGACGGGGCTGAGATCACAAATGCAAAAGCGGGCCAAGCTGGCCCAGTCAAACATATTGCTATACAAATAGACCTAATGTGAGAAAGTCGCGCTAAAGATTTTGTCGACTTGGGACCATTTTGCGGAAACGAGGCATCCGGTCGGTCTCAGAAAGATTCGACAACTTCCGGTGCACGGAGAGGCGTCGTCACACGACCGACCGGTGGACTTGCACGCACAACTCGGAAATGCTCCGAGACTTTGCTTTATTTTCTTAGGCTGAATAGACTTATAAAAATATTCAGTTATCTCCAATTCCTAACCAAAACGGAGGAATGGGAAGCTAATACAGGAGATCACAGAGCAGCCCAACTCGAGCAAGGTTCGGTTCAATAGTAAAAGCAACGAGTGAAAAAAACATGCTCAGTTTCAGCGGACTAAGGAAGAAATTCCTCTTCTGGATCGAGTGATCGCCAGAACCACTCAGTCTCCCGTATTCTTTGGTCAAGCATTTGTCGCACACTCTTCCGACGGTCGGTGCACACAAAATTCCCCGACGTTACCCCGCTTGAGAACGCTGCCCCTGGACAACCCTTTGTAAGCCTCACCTTGCGTGCATGGCAGTGGAATCGGACCGTTCTTGCCAGAAGAGGAAAACTGCACTATTTTCACCCCAATCTCCTTAATTCCCAAGCTAGGATTAACGAGCCGTTTCAATAAAGAAAATCAGTCGTTGGTTTCCAGCAGTCGATACACAGGGCACAGCAACATTAAGTTGCCCCAAAAGGTGTCTTACATAAGAAAAGGGAATTTGAGGGATTGCATTCTATGTGTAAGAAAGTTACAGGGTGACATACTCGTAAAAGAAGCACGATTTCAGCCAACCACACATCACAATTGAGCTAACACCAGTCCAAAAATTGTTTCGCTAAAAAACCAGCCGAGGAACCGAGGAACACATCACAATTCTTTGAATTGAGAGCATTAGCAAGCTTGAGGCTACTCATCAGTCATTCAATACCAGCACTAAAAGCGTTTCTTGTACAAAGCACAAACCATGATAACAGACAAAGCTGCTTTCCCCCAAAGCTTCCAAACAAATATCCATACTCTAAAAAATTCACTATTTTTCTACTCATCTCGCAGGATTTGTAAGATTCGACACAATCTGGAAAAAAATTGCCTAAATGTGCTGGATTGAACTCTGAATTCTGAGCACCATTGGCAATCCAAGAATTTTCGAAAAGCCATTTTCTATGGGAGGGTTTTTCAAACGTCTCAGGGACCCAAAGGGAACCCAGATTCTCCTTGCGGCCGTTAGGCCATGAATCAAGTGTCTGAGAATCCACAGATTCTACAAGGAGTTGGATCGAAGCTATACAATTCTTGATTTGTGCCAATTGCCTGCAGTTCACGGTCGAATCTGCCGCTCAGCCAGCTCTCGACGGGCGAGACGCTGGGAGGGACGCTGCACTCTTGTAACGGCCTGGCTAGGAGGACACGTACGTCACAAATGCACTTTTCCCGAAACAAACAAATAAAGGTGTCGCAAGAGAAGCCACGTTGCAAACCTCCCATTGGCTGGAAGCGGGGCCGCGTGCACCGCATGCATCTCCTCTGCGTCTTGGGCCTCCACGCGACACAGAGAGAAGCGGGGATGGCTTGCACGTTGCATCCGCGGCTCGGTGTAAATTGCGTCCCGCAGCATTGATGTTCTATTACTTTTTTTATTTTTCGGGCTGCATTTCATGACACACGTACCAAACGTCTTCTTTTGGCAGTGCAGTGTTCCCTTAGAACCTGAGAGAGAGCGTGCGTGCGTGCACGGTCGTCGTTACTGAGAAATCGGTACCAAAGGAAGGGAAGTCCCCGCGGTACGAGAGCTGCCGCAACGAGGATAACGACGGCATCCAAATGGACGCCTTCATAGACTCTGGAAAATGTGCATCCCCAGCATTTGTACTCGACGGTCGACAATATTGCTTCAGAGTGCTTCGGTGCTTCCGCATGCACTGGGGGGCAGCGCCTCCAAAAACCGAAACTGCCGAGTCGACAGAAATGACGACAGTGGATGCAGTTCCGACGAAAGAGTGCCGCCCTTTTGTAGTGGTGGTTGGGAAAGTATGCCTTCTCGACCCACATAGAGACAACGACAAAGGAGGCCCTATTTCTGCCGCCAAAAGATCCGCTACCAAACGCAGCGCCACGAGCAATCAAAGCTAATGTTGCGAGCAAGAATAACGTTTTGCAGCGACTCAATTTAATGCGAGGTGCGTGCATGCAGCTCAGAAGATGCGTGCCAACTAAATGTTTTCGGATGCTACGTGCATATGCCAGACCCTCTCAATAGATCATCCACTGACATCTCAAATTTTCTGCACAATATGCGCTCTAGTACGGGTCTCACTTTTTACGCAAAATAATCCATCTATTTACTTTCACGAGGAGCACGCAACGAGCCAGTCCTAGTCTACGGAGGTATAATGCGGGAAACGACGGATGATGCTCCAGCTTCCAAACAAAGGTTTCTCAATGCGGTAAATGCCAAGCTCGTAGCCCAAGTGAAACTTCGCAAATTGTGTCCTTTGCAGAATTGTTTCCAAATGCCCGTTCACGTGGCGGCTTTTCCGACTAGGACGGCAGGTATACAGATAGTGCTTGTCCTGTATACTTCTTGTCCTTCTCTTTTTTGCGCTGTTTTATATGTTTAACTAAGACGAGTAGCTTCGTGCGCGATGTATGAGGAAAGGATGCTTCAGCGACTGTAACCGAAAATGATGTAGCGAAAACCAACTGCGCGAATGGGCCATAGGATCCCAAACGGTCGTCTCCCCGCACGCGCCGCTCGGCAACTTCCTGTTGCAACTCCCGGTGCCCGAAGTTCTCGGCAGGCGACAGAAAAAGGGCCTCTCAGGGCGGGGAAGCGTTTGCGCAACTGGGGCAGAGGCGTCGCGACGAAGCACTCTGCCCGTCTTGCGAAATGCCCCGCGCAGTCGAGGTCGGAACGGCTAAAGCCGCAGCCAAGCGCACGTACAGCTGGAACGCGACCCCAAACTTCTTTAAGTCGCTCATTTCCTAACCCCGGCGCGGCACTGCAAAAACAGAATCCGGCCGTTCGCAGCTTCGCCAACGGCGGGAGCCTTTTCCGGGTGCCCCGCCGAGAATGCAAACACCTACCTTACTTGCGCGGTCGACCGATGCCGCTGCCAATGCCCCTGGAAACAAATACTACAGCCTAAACGTCGCACTTTCCAACACCCGTTTATGACGGGGCCCCGGCAAACGACTCGTCCGAGTCGCCGCTCCACGAGGGGCTCCAATGTCCCCCACACTAGCCAAAGAAAAGCCTGCTACGCGCGAGATTTAAGTAGGCTGCGGGTCTCCTAGGACCGGGTTCCTCGAAGTCAGGCGCCCCTAACTACACGTGTTTCTAGTCTGGACACAATCGAAGCCTCAACCCGCCCCCCCTTCCCCGCGTCTGCAGTGAGCCTCCTGAACCAGACGCGAGGCCGTCGGGGGGGATCTCGCTCAAAGCGGTCGAGGGCTCCCCCGTGTCCGACAGCTCGAGAGCCCGACCGGCGGACGGCGTCGAGTCTCGGAATGCGTAAGAAGAGGCGCCCGACGGCAAACAACGAAAGCAAACTAGGTCGGAGAAGAACCGTAACAAAACCTAACCCTACCACTTACCCGACTACGCGACCAGGACTTAGAATTACACCGGCGATGACTATGCGAGGTGATGGACTTTGAGGGAAGCGAATGCCGGCTGCCGTGTTACCTAACTTTTCCTAAGCTACCACCTAACAATAATAAAACAAAAAAAAACGATGCCTCGAAAAAAAACAAAAAAACCTAATGTTAACAATGTCTTACGCCCGGTTCCGACCACAGTGGAACCCTACAGGATGCTGCCGACGCGGTGCTTCGTAGTCTGTCCGCATTGGGCACTGCGGAAGTGTCGTTTGACGAGAGCACGCGTCAAATCCATTGCCACGGGACGTTCCTTCTTCCGTCGAGCACCTCGGGAAGTACGCTCCGAGCGGGTTGCCACTCACTCGCAGCGCCACTCAACAAACAAGCACCATCCGGCAGTAACAAAAAATATGTGGCGTAACGAATGACGCGCACATTAGAACAAGGAGGCGATGCGAGCACAAACACCCACGCACACACAAACACGCACTCGAGGGAGCCGGCGGCGGCGACCCCGCACAGAGTGGTCGCATTGCAGTCGTCCTCACAAGGTCCACCGCGGACTCAAGGTAGGAGCAGCCGGATCCAAGTTCGACGAAAGTCTTCGAAATGCCCGTCGTTCTCGTAGACCGTCGATCGGATTCCTGACGTCGTGCCTGTGCGAAGCGGCAGTTGCAGCACCGTCCGCTTCCTGGCGGGCGCACCGGCCGTGGCCGAAGCGGCGAGACGGCCGCACGGGTTCACGGACGCAAGCGACGTTGCCACTCCCTGAGAAGTCGGGTGGCACCAAGGTCACACCGGCGTCGTCGAGGTGCCGCCCGGACCGAGTCGAAAACGGCAGGGGCTACCTGCGGAGACGTCCACTCCGCCTACGTCTTACGAAGTGCCACCGAGCCAAAATCGCCCGAGTGTGCCGTAACGGCTGGACGATTCCGAGCTCCACGACCGATGTCTCGACCAGGAGCTGGTTTGGGAGCTTTTGCCCAACCGGATCCGGGCCGGCCTCCGCATTATTGCCGTTTGGCCTTTAGGTGTTTCAATGGAACGCCTTTTGCGTATAAATAAATCCGGACCCCAGTAAAAGAGCGAAATTTGTCGAAATAGTATTTTTGGCGACCCAAAAAGGACGTACGTTGACCGACAAGCATTAATTTTGGAAAGTATTCCTAGTCGTCCACCATTGCGTACCTTTCTTTTCTCGCGCAAAAATAATAACCAACAAATCTTTCCCGCAGCAAAAGTGTGTTACCACACATTATTCGAGTGCGGTTTTCTCATTTGGGGGCATCTTCACAGCTTGCGTGCGAGTATTTTTGGCCCAAATTTTGTTCCGTCGGTCAAATTCGGCATGCATATGCTTTAGGTTCCATAGAAAAACTATCGAGGTTTGGTTACGATGCAAGTACTAAGAGCTATAAAAATTTAAATCTGTAATATCTGTCAGCCCGGTCAAATTCGGCACGCATATGCTTTAGGTTCCATAGAAAAACTATCGAGGTTTGGTTACGATGCAAGTACTAAGAGCTATAAAAATTTAAATCTGTAATATCTGTCAGCCCTTGGGAAATGGTATTTTCTGTGATTTGTAGCGAAGTGAAATCGGCCGATTTTACCGCCCCTCTTTTTAATTTAATGCTAATGCAACGCCCAGTGGTGGAACTGCCGAGTGTTGACTTGGAGCAGCTCTTGTAGCAGGAAAAAATGGGGTTTGGAGCAAAGATTCCCACTTTTGGAACAAACAATACTGAGCTTTCATATAAAAAATTTTATACAATCTTTCTGAAAGTTAGCCTGTGAAAAAAGTGCAGTTCTAGGAGTGTTGGGAGACTATTTAAAGTGTCTGACCTACGGGGGACCTGGCCGCTAGGGATTTATTTAACGAACAATCATACGGTGATAATTTTGCAGATTAGGTAACCTATTAGGGAGTACCGATGGCGTCTTCGGTCGGTGTTTGCACTGCACTGCTCTCGCTCATATTCCACCGGCTACTGTTTGTAGAGCAGCTACTCTAACCCTCGATGTGAGCGCCATTCGCAGAAAAACCAATACTTTTCATTCAGCATGTGCAAACAATGGATTTGGGTATGAAGCAAACTGAAAGTGAAGAGCGTTTTTGGCCGAACATCTTTTAATCGAATCTTGAATAGTTGCTGCGATCTATACTTACAGACTGTGGCCTCAGAAAGTTAATACCTACATTAGGATGGCAAGTGAACGACAGATTTACCTACGAAAGAGCCTAGCCTTACCTAATTGAGGGTCTTTACGAATATTCTTGGTATACGCAAATAGTTTCTTCGACTCTGAATTAAAAAAAAAAAAAAAAATCACGCACAAATAATGAACACAGGTTCTTAGAACATTGCTGCCTAACATATACTTGGGCATAATAGCCACAGTTAAATTTTGAAGATTTTACTGCAGTGTAAATATCAACAATCACAATGCTTCTAATACAGGGGTTCTCGAACTTTTAGCCCTCACAGAACCCCAGGAAGCCTCAAAAACTGCTGCGAAGCACCGCAACCCCCCCCCCCCCCCCCCCCTATTTGCTGACCGAGAAGCAACAGATGCACAATTGCAGGCAATTTTGCTTGTGTTGCTTCCCATATGTCCCCACCATATCAATCGCAATGTCAGTACAAAGTGAAATGAAGGCGCTTTGCATGGTCCTGCCGAGCAGTTTGCGGCAGGGGGGGGGGGGAGGGGAGGGGGGTTGCGATTTGGGTGTTTGTGGAACCCATGAGACCAGCTTGTGGAACCCCTGTGTTCCCCGGAACCCAGTTTGAGAACCCCTGTTCTAATACATTAGGCACACGTGTGCACCAGGCCACTTGGAAGATGCGGTGTCAGCTACGCGGGTATTGCTTCTCCACAGTGCACCGGTGCTCGAGGAGAAGCGCACTCCAGGGGGCTAACCTGCCGCAATCAACGCTTCGAAAAGTACAAATTTCGCGGTTAATTTTTAACAGAATATCTAACAGTGTATTGTTTGAACTACCATAAGGAAATTCTAGTATTCGCATGACCCTACTCTTCGTACATAGTTCTCAGGCACCTGAAAAAACAACAACTGCACTTTGTTCATTTTCAGTAACATCGTCAACAATGCTACGTACCAGACACTTTGTTTCGTTTTTGAGAACAGTTCTTTTTTGGCGCATACACGGTGCAAACTGCACGCAAATAAAGCCTTTGCATCAGCCTGTAGCAGGTTGTTTGCCCCGGCACTATTTGGCACAAATGGCGCGGCAGTTCCACCACTGGCTATGCCCCACGCGTGAGCAATAGCATGTTTTATTTGTTCACGCGCTTGGCATCCGAAACAAAAAAAGAAATCAAAACTAACATCAGATTTAGGAAAGGAGCACAATAAAGGGCGAAATCACGATGAGAGGGCATTTCCTAACGAAGAAGAGTGTCGATCACGAGCTTAGGCCAACGCCCGACCCGACACACAACTGGGGTTCCCAGCTAGGCAGCAGATGGGGCCTCTCGCGACATCCGGGAAGGCGGTCCCAGCAACGTGGGGGACGCCGAGTTTTTTGAAGCCTTTCGAGGGGGACAGGGACTGCCCGGGCGCCACAGTAATGCAGGGATACCACTCAAGACGAGGTTTAGGACCCTGTTCGCGGCCACAGCCAGAACGAATCTGCCGAAACGACGTAGAAACAGCCGTGGGACAGCGTCTGGGATCATTACGGCGGCAATGCGAGACAATCGTGTCGGAGACCGCGTCCAAGGTTGGACGAAAGAACCGGTCGCGGAGGAAGGGAACGGCAACCGAAACGGGAGACGACGTCGGGGGCAGCTTGGAGGACGGCACGGAGGGAAGGGTGCGGGCCGGCGGCCCCGACGACGCCGGGGACTCGGCAGCGGCCCTCACCGCACCAGCGCGTGCGACTCGAGCATCTCGACAAAGAGCTTGTTCATCGGCACCGTGCCGTCCCGGCGCACGGCGTTCCAGAAGCGGCGCACCACCGCGTCCAGCTGGCGCAGCAGGGGCAGGCAGAGCAGGAGCCGGCCACAGTGCTGCTGGGCGCCGGGCGTCGGGGCCGCGGTGGTGGACACCGGGGTGGAGGAGGGAGAGGAGGCCGACCCCGAGGAGCACGGGGGGCTGCGCTGGGCCGCCACGCAGTCGTGCAGCCCCTGCAGCACCGCCTCCCGCAGCTTGTGCACCGAGGCCCCGTCCTCCAGCTGGATGTCTGCAAGGACACCGCAACAACGAGTCTATCGCCACACGGGCTGCGCATGCGCAAACGGGGAGGAGGGCGCGGCGGTTGGCCGAGGCCGACCCAGAAGCCGAATGGCGGCGCACAAACGGGCGTCTCTTTCCGGAGGGACGCCGGGGCTGCTCACCGGCGTTGGTGAGCAGCAGGGCTTTGAGGGCGAGGAACTCCTCCCGGGAGACGGAGAGTGCCTCCAGGCGGCGCACCAGCTGGGCCAGGTGCAGGAACAGCTCCTCCGCCTGGCACTCCTGGGCCTGCCGCTCGTCCAGCACCAGGTCCGAGGCAAACACCAGCCGCACGGGGCCGCTCGGCTGGCACGACCTGCATTCCGGTCCAAGGACGGCCACCATGCACCGCCACAAGTCTCGGGACGAGTTCGGCCGGTGCGGTACCAATGCCGGGGTAGCCCGCCCGTTTTCGGAGCTACCCGGACTAATCAGAATTTGCTGTCGCTCGTCTCGTCAGTCGCTAAATTGCTTCCACGCGATGCGGTTCAGCCTTGATTGAGCAGTCTAAAAAAGTTAATTCAAACAAATAGACCTTTGTATTTCAAACGGCTGGAGAAACAGGTCGGTAGTTTGATGGACGATGGTTCCAACTCTTTGTGATCCCATTGTTTTGTACTTTTGAGTGGTCCGCGTTAGACAGCTGCACGATGGCCTGTGCACAGGGGATTGTCCACGTCCGTCAACTTTTCTAATGTCACAACAGGACCACTCAAGTTGCCCATAAACGGAACCATAAACAACAGCGGCGGACATCAAAGCGGTACCCAGACGTTTATGCGGCCACAATCCCTTCATGGATTTGACAGGCTTCCCAGAGGCACGACACAAAACAAAGGTATGAGCCGTTGATGCAGACAATGAAGTTAACCCCTTAATGGTTTGCGAAAAGCTCAGCTTGTCAAAAGTCATCAGTCATTTCTTTTTTTTTTTTTTATGACTAGTTTGCCTTATCATGCGTTTTTCAGCACTGTATTACAAGATCAGCTTGCCAGACGTAGTTTCTTGCTCCCCATTATATATGATGCAAGGTCACAATCGTCGTCATTCTTTAAATTTGATTAGAAAAATCTGCCTAGTTTCGGTATCGTAGGCAAAACAAGCCTAGTTAGGTGCTACAAAAACCGTTGCTATCATAATTGTATTTAATTCACCTTAAAAGCTTGTTTGGTGGCAGCCAAAACTACTATACAGTCACCAACCAATTTTTCGAATTTTGCAGACACAAAAAAAAAAAAAAAAAAAAAGTCCGAACAATAGATTAGTAAAAAAAATCAGCAGATCAAAAAACTTGCCTTTATCACTTCCAAGTGGGCTTAAAAAAGCCATAAATAGTGCCTTCATTCAGGCTACACCTGCGCACCTTGTTTCAGGTTACGCCTCCATTTGCGTTCGACAACTTTCTATTAGCTTGAGCATTGCTGCCTTCTTTTCTAGCGTTATGGTCGAGTACTTTCTGTGCTTCTCAGCGACAGGTCGTGGCGGCGCAAGAACAGATGGGGCAATGATGTCCACGCCAGCGCAGTCCGAAAACACAATTCACTGAGACGAAATTGAGATGAGAGGCGCAAGTCCACAACTGCAATGGCGAATGAACGGAGCAAAATGCCAACAACGATGATTATAATGACACGCAGCTACAGAGAAAAAAAGCCATACAGCGTCACTTAGCAATAGGACTTAGCAGTACTCAAACAGCACTGACAAACCAAGTCGATCCATGTGCAGCCAACATAGATTCAAAAATGGCCGCTCCTCGGTGGTGCTTCCAGCTGATCGCTCGCGACGATTTTGTCCGAAAAATCAAACTTTCGGGCTTCAGACTGTCTGAAACATTGGTCGTGAATATGCACCATTTCTATCTAGTAGATCTTGGCTCCTCCTTTAGGTCCGAAATATCGAACAAGCCCGAGTTATCGCCATCAGAAAAATCGATCGGCGACTGTGATTTTGCTTTCTTGCAATATGAAACTGGGCTGCACTGGCAAATGAAAAATGACATCAAGTGCATGGTGTGGTTGGGCAGAATTTTCAAATTCCACGGATCACGCTGGTAACTGTGGGAACGAAGTTGCCTTTGTGCTTTGCTCGTCAAGTGATGAAGACAACAGCGATGCCTCTCTTGATTTGCGACCGCCTTTTCAAAGAAATATGCGCGAAAAAGAGGCGATGATTCCGATTAAAGCATCATCGAGCTCCTGTATTGCATGGAATGCGCCCCCCGGCATAGGACATGCATAAAACCCGGTGTCGAAGCTACAGGCCAAACCGAAACAAACAAAACGGTGGCAGCAGTTCAGCTTGCGGTGGTGATATGGTGGCCACTAGAAAGCCACAAAAATCGAGCAACTAGGCATACATTGTCCAGATTCTCAGTCCCTGTTATATATAAAGTCTATGGGGAGAAAAATTGTCCAAAAGTCAAGGTAGAGGGCGGAGCATGTCGCAACTTTGGGCATCCGAAAAATTGGTCGGTAACTGTATTCTGATGGCAGTAAAAGCTCGCGTTTCTTCTTGGGAGAAAAGTCTGGGCAACCAGATGGGACTGTTCTGCCGAAGAGGTTGGCCGCCAACATGTTCTCAGTTGTTCACACGCAGTGAGCGCCTTCCCATAATTGGCAATCCACATCCGTCTAGCGACTCCAACGTGCTTCCCTAGCATATTATGCCGGTTACACGACTGCATCGAATGCGAAGGTGGAGTTGACTAAGTCACATTCGTGTATATGCGGCTTAAGGGGGGACGCAGGCCTTGAAAACAGAAAAATCGCAAAAACATTGATTTTTATGGAAATCATATTTTTGGGTTGTATATCTCCTAATCTACCTTCTCTGTAATTATCACCACCAAAAAAACACTGGGAAAATATTAAAAATAAAATATTTACGAGGCCTGGGTAGCTTTCAAGAGGCAGTCAAGCACCAAAATCAACCGAAAGTTTGCGCTATCGGCGCTCCTGTTCTATTGAGCCGACAGCCGCCATTTTTGTCTCGTTTTGAACGTGAGTTCTTTCTCTTCATTCTCCCCATTTTCAAAATGACGTCAGCATCGTGGATTCCATGCGGTTGGCGTTTTGCCATGTCGCAATTGCACAGTCGTGATTGGACAAAGCGCGCGGGGGTGCATGCGGCTACTATCGGGCGCGGCGCGCCTCCTCCTCTTTGTTTTCTTCTGTCGCTGCCGGTCGCGTCGTCTGCTACGGCAGTGGCCTCCTTGCTTGCCTCCACGCATTATTAGCTCCACTTCGCTTTTTGCCTTCTGGACAATCGTTCCCGCTGAACTTCGAGCAGTTTCTTGTAGCTTGCCCATCTATTTCGTAACTGCACACGATGCGTAAAATGAAATACAAGACAGCGTGCGCGTTCGGCGTGCGAGTGCTCCATGAAGCTGATCAGGATGGCGAAGTTGAAAGTTTCTGCACAGCGTGCCGCTATTGCTCATGAGGTCGATGCTTCCAGTAATGGATCTTTCGGGCCATCGGCTGTTGCCGTCAAGGAAGAAGCCGTCGCTGCATCTATGCGTAGTGTCCCGAGCACATAGACCGCTGCAGTTTCTTCCGAGATTGCGGGCTTCAGCGCTCGGCTGGCGCCTACTGTGAGTCGGAGTGAATCGTCCAGCACCCATCTCGTGACGCATTTTCTGGCGCGCAATATCTCAGTGATATCTCGGGAACTGCTTATCCCATCTGCGTGCTGTCTTTTGTATCTTGTTCCTAAATAACTTTGTGAGGGCATGACAAGCTTGGTTTTTTATAAAAATAATTTAAAAAAATTGTAAAAAAGAAAAAAAAATTATGAATGTTGGTTTGATCAAAAACTGGAACTTCAACGTTGTGCTAAAATTTTTCTGCAAAGAAATTTAAAGAAAGGGCTCTGTTATGCCCAGGAGTACCTATCCAGCGGCCATCATGGCGAACTTCACACTGCCACTGCTTTTTGCAGATTCTCCAGGATGGGGATAAGGGACATATATAACCCATCTTGATAAACTCTTATAACTTGAGAATGAATTATCACAGCATCATGAAACATCACAGTTAGTCTTATCTTAGTGTTATCAGCATGCCCTAAAGTTTTCATAAAGGTATCTCTAGAATTAAGGGAGGATGTGAGGAAGAAAAAATACTTTTTTGTTCTTAAAGTTATTGGCATGAAACTTGCAGAGTATGTTGGTATTGGGGCCCTAATAATCACTGCAATGTTTGACTCAATTATGCCTGTTGGATTTCGAGAAACAGGAGTTTCTATGTTTCTTTGCTTTGCCAATCCAGAGATATTTTGGAGCACAGTAGCAAAATGAAATTCACTAGACTTGAATATATACCAAAGGGGGAGACAGAGCCCTTTTTATACATTCCTTTCTGGAACGGCTTTAGTAAAAGTTTGAATGCTCATGTTACCAAATTCGCAAATAAGTACAAAAACATTTTATGACTTAAAAAAAATGTACTCTTTATTGCAGAAACTGACATTGTCATGCCCTTCTAGCACTCTCTGGCACCGAAATAAAAAAGACTGCATACAAATCGAACCACTAGTTAAGAAAACATCGATGGCAGAAACAGTCACGGCTCAAGAAAATGCGTTCCCGAGAAGAAGAGTCTGAAAGTTTGAGGCACGACAATAGTGTCAGAAGGAACCCGCAGCGTAGCCTTGTGTGCTGCGTTGCAACCTCCTCTTCTGGCGTGCTTCGGTTTTTGCACTGTGGCGTTTGGTGGCCTTGTGTAAGCGGAGGGAGTCCTTCTCCGAAGCCCGCCGGAGAACCAGGTGCGCAGGCTGCAGGTTCGTGGCACTGGACATCCCTAGGTGTGCCCTAGCGCAGCCAGCATTAGACCTGACGACTGCCTCGTGCAGCGCAGGCTGTACCGACACCAGTGAGGCGTGCTGCTCCTTCGGCATCAAGGCCCACAATGAAGCGATGTCTGCAACAGACGCTCATACACAGGCAGCATGGCTTCAGCAACGTAGTCGGGGAGGCTGTACTTGTGTTTGGGCTGTGGCTGTCCCTTCGCCTCGGCAACCTTGTTCCGGCACCAGGACTCCGGTCCTCCTGGACAAAGGTCGTGCTTTGGGTCTTCATCCGTCGAAGTCACATGGTAATATGTGGCCATCACGGCACGCTTCATGGCTTCCACATTGTTACTATGGCTCCTGATGGCCCATCTGTAATACCCAGTCGGCCTCTCAATGAGCACCTTTGTGAGGCGGCCCTTTCCTCCAAGAGGCTCGTCGCTCTTCTGCAAGAGCTTCCGCAGAGCAGTCCCCATACATTTTTGTACATGGTTGAGGCACTCCTCTTTCTTTATGGGGAGAAACCCGTAGGTCTTGTCTTCAGCTAGGGCACAGAAAGTTCTGCTGTCCCGGTCAGATATTAGTGTCGTGTAGCGCAAGTTATGTTTCTCCAGAGAGCGCCCAAAAATGGTGAGTGCCGCATCGACTTCCATTCTTCCCGAGTTTGCGCTGGTGTTTTTCTGGCACTGGTGGGTCTGATGCCGCTCACGGTACCTCTCCTCTCCCGGCTTGGGTCCGGTCTGGCAACCGTGACACAGATTGGAGAGAACCTCAGCCTCTAGGATGAGGCCAGTGTCATACTCGATCACGCTCCCGACACCAACATGGGAGCTGTAGCCTCTCTTGAGCCATGTGCCGTCGTAGACAGCAACATCCTTGGTGAAGGTGGGGTTCATTTCCCTGTATATGCTTTTTACAGCAGCGGCTGACTCAGTGTAGATCTTCTCAGCAGTAGCTGCAGCCGACTTACAAACAATGTTTTTCAAGTGATCTTGGTAGGACTTGTGGTGGAGCCCTCTATGTGACACATTCATCACCACCCAGAAATCATTTAGGGCAGTCTGACCCTTGCCAATGCTTCTGATCTCTCAAATTCACATCAAATGCGTTGGAGTCGACCTTGCGCAGGGATGACCAGGTGTGAGTCACGACATCGCAAACGGGGCACACAAGTTGAAGCTTGACGGCGAGTCCCAGAGCGGTCGATTCCTGGATTCTTACGCCCGTCGCCGAACAGCTTTGGCAGACTGTGTAGCCGAGAAGCTCATTGATAGCGCCAAGCTGCACAATTGTGAACTTCGCCGATGAGCTTGTTGCGGTAGCGGGGGCTTGCTGCAGCAGCTCAAACTTCCTTTGCATCGCGGACACGGAAGCAAGCTTCGTACGGACGGCTTTGCCATGTTCGGTTGTCGCACCAGCTTCCTCCTGTGACACGTACTGCGTCTCTAGATGAACAGTCGTGTTCTCCATCGTGTTTCCAGACGCACAAAAAACTACCTATGTTTTCTTCGGCGGCGGCACTCGATGAACACGCAGGCGATCGTCGGGTCGAGGCTCGATTTCGCCGCTCTGACTTGCTTCATTCATCCGGCGCTTAGACGCTCCATACGCATATCGAGTCTTGCTCTTATACACCAACTCATGTTTACAAACAAACCGGAGCGCCGCTAGCGGATACCACCTCAGAACCAGACCGGAAGTGCGACCGACCCGCCATCACCGCGCCGTGACGTCACAGAGTTGAGTTCCTGTATACTTGCTCCTCCACATCACAGAAAAAGAAGTGTGAAAGCTACACGACACGATCGAAAAATGTAAACAAAGGCGACAAGGGCAATAGAGGAAACTTGCGGATAGCAGACGACAAAAAGCGGAGCAGACAAGGAAGAACGCCGGAGAGACCGAGCGCGGAAAAAGAGAACGAGCGAGCGGGAGAGGAGGAACTTGTTTGGAACTGTCCGGAGCCTCTCGGCGCCAATAGTACAGCCTGATTTTCTGAACGCGCGCATTGGCCAATCATGGCGCCATGCTCCTTTGGCGGGAAACCTCACAAAACGGCGTTGCATCGAGAGAGCGAGAATTCATCTACAAAACAAGACCAAGATGGCTGCTGTCTGGTAAACGGTTTGGAAACTAAGCGCGCGTGAATCTGAACTCGATTTGATTGATCGATTGGCATTTCGCGACCGCGGAGGCATTGAAAATGCGTTATTAGAGGTATTTATTTGGCGTTTTGAGCTTCAATACGTGCAGCAGAGATGGAGAAAGACATGAACAATCCAAATATCCAATTTTTTAAAAAGGCATTTTTTCGTGATTTTTTTTACTTTTCGAGACCCGCGTCCTCCCTTAAAGAAGTTCATTTTCCGTCCCCACCTCGCACCTTAACGTGGTATGTCAATTTGCCGATTTCATGACCATTCCACCAGTCGCGTGTCCCGTCGACTGTGTCGCAGCGGGATTCGACTTGCGTATCCAAAGACTGGCAAACCATCTTCCGAAAGAGGACAGGGCCACCCACCTGTACGCCAGTGCCAGGGAGAGGATCTCGGCCCAGGTGGTCTGCAGCAGCCGCATCTGGTCGTTCAATGTCAGGTCCGTGAAGCCTGGCCAGAGAGACGCCGGCCAGTTAGGCACCAGACGGGGCTTAGCCACTCTAACAAGTCTGGAGGAGAGATTCAACGCAAGAAGCTCCCTGCCAGGGCGTGCAACCCCGCATTGCGTTCGAGTACGAGGAATGGACACCGCGTCGCGGCCAGATTCCGACGGGCGTTGCAATCCAACCACGGTATTAAGTGCCGCGCTCTAGTTTTAGATGTCGATACGTATCGCCGTTTGCCTGACACAAAGCTCGGCACGAGCGCACTCCGCCGAACCTACCGTAAAATCCCTAGAGATGTCCCACCCTCGAAAGATAGCCTACCCCTATTTTTGGCTTGATTTGTTATATCTTTTTTAAACACTGAAAGCAAGCCCACTCTTAGTAATAGTAGTGTTGTGATCAATGATGGCCTCGGCTTAAATGTGGCTAGTTTGCTATGGTGCGATACAAGCGAACATTGCTGACTTGGAAGTACAGTCGTCTTTGCTTCGTTGCCCCTTGCCACCTAACAAGCTTGCAAGGGACACAACCTAAAAATAGCATTTTTTTTTAAAACTTTTCTTCATTGTACACTGTGTTAGCCCCCTCCATATTTTCACCAGATTTGCTCTTGATGTTAGGTAAGCTCTTTCTCGGGATTTTACAATAGACGTTCCTCGAGACTTCTTCAAACGTCGTTAGACATACTAAATCATGCCCCAGTTGGCTTGACTTCAGTAAAGGGGCAGCGCCATAAATAAGCGAGGAAACACGGGACGGAGCGGTGAAAATGACGTGCGAGGCACTCTCGGCGCTTCGAGACGTACTGGGCAAACTTAAAACTTGCGCCCGTCATTTTGTGCCGAGGTATTGGTCGCACCGACGAGCCCCGCCTCTGCGGGAACCTACCGACATTACTCGTACGTCAGACCAATACTTAGTGTCGGTGCAACAGAAAGCAAAATGAAACGAGAAATGGATCGCTTGTTCATTATACCAACCGTCAGGCCAACACAAGTCGTGCGCGGAAGCCAAGCCATGGACACGCTTGTGCCTGGAATTGGGGCAGAGCTTTCCAACCTCGATGCCGACGTCCTGCCAAAGGCATCGCGGGATTTTTACCCCTCTCGACCATGTTTCGTCAGGCTAGCCGTACATTTGCACAAATGCGCAACATTGGTGCTGCTAACGAGAGATCCCAAGTTTTTAACGTAAAATGTTCTTTGGCTAGTTGCTTTGGATTTCATGAAGCCCGATTAAGCGAGGCAGGATTTCGTGAAGCCGTGGCCCGTATTTGCATCACTTCAGTTTCCACGCTAGATTTAGCGGGGAAAATGATGTCGCGACTTCATGTCACATGACCTACACACAAATCACGTTTCCCAGCTAAATTCGGCGGAAAAACGTGTGTCACGTGACGAATACTGAAATTTTGTTTGCCCGCTAGATTTAGAGGAAAAATTCACGCAGGTTGCGTGACGTCACCCGCTAAATTTAGCGGTAAAACTGACATGAGACTGGCTGCAGCCCATCATTGCCCATACTTCGTGGACACAGGCTCAGAGTATCGCATCTGTGATGCAAGAACAATTCACAGAGTATCGCATCTGTGATGCAAGTACAATTCACGTATCCAACACAACTGCCTCACGATTTTTTACGCAATTTTTTGTTTATTTCTTCCAATCCAAGGGCAGTCATCGAGGCTACTAGTGCGGTAGAAAGTGCTCGTTCGAGGCACAAACCTGCCCACCAATACTCTTGCAACATTACGTTGGAAAAAGCACCGACGTCGCATGTGCATTAACAGTGTTGCGCAGTGTACCTTTTACTTTACCTTCTGTACAGATTCCATTAGTTACTTCATTTTTTCTCCACATAGCACCTTCCAAATCAAGCATCGAAATTGCCAAACCGACTCCATGCTAAGCCAAGTCTTTTTTCTCGGCACGTGCATTTCAAGAACAGGCGAGCTGAATCTCTGGGTCCCCCTTTCTCTCCAGACTCTAGTTTCCTAGCAGATATTGGTACCCGCACGCAGGCCAAGTCGCTCGCAACGTGCGTCGCGCAACGCCGCGTCTTTCGCCGTCGAAAAAGGAAAGTTTCTGGACTGATGCCGATTGGTGTTGCGACAACAGACATTTTTGGGAAGCGGCAGAGCAGCCGCTGAGGGTGGTGCAGCACCCACCGGGGATCTGCTTGGCCCAGCTGATGGTGGCCACCAGCTCCCGGTCCACCAGCTCGCTCAGCACCCCCACCGTCTTGAGCCGGTCCCCCAGGGCGGAGGACGAGTGGGCCAGCAGGGGCTCCGGCTCACAGTGCACCAGGGCAGAGATTATCACATTGTCTGCGATACAGGGTGCCCCAGCAATTAGGGCCATCTAACAGATCTCACACACCCACACAAGGCAATGCAGGTAAAAGACCCGGTTTCCAAACGGCCCGGATCCTAGATCCTCCCTGGATCGACTCTGCCTCGGGCTGTGGCTGACGGCTAATAGCGGAAGACTGAAAGGATCGCTTCTCTTCCTCAAATTACGACGTAAAGAAAGAATGTTTATTTTTAGAGCGCAGCTCTTAGGCGCCTGTTTCCAGCTTGAGCAGCATTGCTGTCAGCGTAACCGTGCGTTGCATTATGGGACGTTTCTCATAATTACGTCACACGTGACGTCACGAGGGCCACTTGTGAAGGCCACGACGAAGGTCACGACCTTCACGAGTGACGTGGGTCACGAGGGAGGAGGGAGGAGCGGGAAGAGAGGAGGAGGGGCATATCCTTCTCTCCGTACCCTTCCCTCCTCCTCCTCAAGAGCTGCGCTCTAATTCGGCGTTTTAGGGAGTTGTAAATGTCTTTCATTCTTTTACTTTTTACTTAAGAACAATGACATTGAAGATCTGAGGTCACCGAACAATCTTGCAGGGAATACTAGGGAAGTGCGCATAAAAAGGCATCCTATAGTGTATCTATTGAAATGAGGGTGCATTCATTCGTTCATGCTTTTGCTCGAGCATCGCGAATGTCACTGTGCTTCTAAATGATGCTCTTTGCCTTCACTGGGTCATCTGATATGGCAAAGATTTCGCCTTCCATTGTTTTTTAGCTGCACCAATATGTTCGTTCAGCGAGGAATGTTATACACATTATGTAACAATCCCACCCCCTTCCCTAAAAAAGTTATGGCGTTTCGTGTTGTTCACTCACGAAGCATCTGTATTACGTTTCCAAAGTATTTGTGCCAGACACTGCTCAAGTAAGAAAAAAAGTTACGGACATTTACACTCTGTGATGCAAAAGTAAAGCGCTGCTCTCCAAGTATTTTGATTTTGTGATATGCCTTGGTAGAGAATTTGAGACAAACAGAGATATATACTACTGTATTTACACTATTGTAAGTCAACTTGATTGTAGGTCGACCCCCCAAACATTGCACATCAGCAAAAGAAATTTTTAGATGCGAATTTATTTTACTGCAAACACGTCAAAGTATCTGTTTCGAAAGCCGCGCCTCCAACACGCGATCAATGCCTTCTGGCGTGCTTTGGCTGTGCATGCACGCGCGAGGTGCATGAGGTGCCCAGGCGTTGTCGGAACTAGGAAGTTCACGCTGGAGGCAGGACAACTGAAGCTGCTCACTGTCATTCTCACTCCGTCCGCGACTAGGCTACGACTCGTCCGCACTGGTGATGTCAATCCCGTCGTCATCACTGCCATGTTCTCGAAGCACGTCGTCAGCATCGTCCAACGAAATCTGGCACTTCGCAAATGACAAGATCAACCGCATCTTCCGCGCTTGCTCGGCAATCGTGTTGAACGTCACGGGTAGGGACCGATTGCACATTTTTGCGGCGTACGTTGCCGGCCACTGACCTGCAACTCCGGAAGGCACCCCCCCCTATCCAGACTTTGGCCTACGAAAGCCTCTTCATTTGCCGTCACAGTTTAAGATCCCGCGCCACTGCAGACTCCACTGGAGCATCACCCAGTCTGATGGGTCGAACTGGCGTGCAACAGCGCAGTTGTTGGTTGCTTCCGAGTGGAGAATGGCCATAAACGAGCACCGAAAACCTAAACTGCCCAAATCACGCGTGTCAATACAAAAAGAAAAGAAAAAAAAAACATACTTAGCACTTTAGCAAGATCTTGTCATTCGATCAAACAATCTGCGACCGTGAATCGTGCGAAAAACTGCGAAGAAAAGCCATGGCGTGAGTGAGCTGAGTGAGCCATGAGGCTGTTCCAGCAGCCTCCAAAACGGCTCTTACCAGAAGTGCCGCCACCCCCCGTGAGTCCCGCATGCCGTGTGCCGTTTACCGCCGTATATTCGGGTTAATTTGCAAATTGCTACCAATAACACTCGTTCGCACAAATAAAAAATAATTAACTTGTAAAATGAGCGCACAGAATGGAACAATGCTAGAGGTACAGCCGGCTGAACTCGCAACAAGCCGAGGTGTTCCTGATATCGCGATTGTTTCATTTTTGCCGGCGGTGGAATGCTTTGGTTCGATTATAAGTCGACCCCCCCACTTCAGATTTTAAAAAATTGAAAAAAGGGTCGACCTACATTCGTGTAAATACGGTATATTGAAATTTTGATCGATCATGCTTGTTCGAGGGTAAGCAAAAAAGGACAAAGAGGTTATGGTGGGAGCCCCAGAATGCAACGCACGTGGCATTTGTTTGTTTTAACATGAAACATTCCTTGGCTAGTTGCTCCCGATTTTGTGAAGCCGTGGCCTGCAACTTCACATGACGTCAGTTTCACCGCTAAATTTAGTGGGAAAATTGAAGTCACATGACTTCAACACCAATTCAGTTTCTCCGCTAAATTTAGTGAGGAAAAGGACCCCACATCACTTCGTGTCACATGACCTATACAGAAATTCAGCCTCCTCGCTAAATCTAGCGGGAAATTTAATCGGTCTATAGGTGTGTAACGTCCCATAATGCAAAGCGCGCAGTAACACTGATGGTGACGCCGCTTTACGCCGGAGTGTAACTAAAAGCTGCGCTCCCAAAAAGAAGAAGCAACATGTGAGTGAGTAGCACAAAGCAGGTTCTGAAAGAGAACCCTGACGTGGGTCCCACCTGGGCGGCCCACGTGGATCCCACGTTAGTTTGGCAAGTGGGGCCCACTTGAAAAGCCCTCTGGGCAGCCTTGGGGGGGGGGGGGGGGGGGGGGCTTAGGTGGGCAACTCACATCATGTCTCCCTGGGGAGCCTCATCTCGTTCGGGGTCATCATTTCCCTATAGCGATTGCAGGTCATCCCAAATTGAGCATGCCTCACTTTCCCCATGCACATACTACGAAAACTACTACCAGTTTGATACATTTATAAAACGTTTTGAGCAAGATCATGGAAAATTGGGCATTTCAAGCATACGAAATGGAACAAAAAACTGTACATTTCTATATAAAATACAGTTAGACAGGTAGTAGGGATACGTGGCAAGTTTAAGCCGGCTACAGGTATTGAGTTTTAGAACAGACCCGACATTCCGAAGGGCCATGTTTGGAATTTACCCTCCAATTCAACCCTCCGCATAAAATATTCCACCCAGCATAAAACAACGTTCTCGACATACGCAAAAAATTAAAGTTTTGTGAGAAAATTTTTTTTTTTTTGCACTTAAATTTACATTTTTAGGTAATTTGGTAATAAGTTAAAGTCCATCGCCTCTGCTCCATGTCCAGAACGTCCAATAAATATCAGCAATACGAGTGTAAAAGCCACTTTGAGACCGGTAGTCCAAGCTGGGCATGGCCACACTTTGCCCCTTGGAACCCACGTCTCTGCTATGGCCAAGGTGGGACCCAAGTGGCAGTAAAGTTGACATTTGGGCTAGTTGGTAGTCTAACATATTGAGGTATTTAGCGCACAAGGTAGAAGGAAGAAGGACAAGACAGAAAAGAGCGCTCTTTTCTGTCTTGTCCTTCTTCCTTCTACCTTGTGCGCTAAATACCTCAATATGTTAGACCCAAGTGGCCTTTGCACGGGCAGCCAATTAAACACGCGCAGTACGACTTTTTGATATCCAAGTGCATCCCATTAGCGTAATATTCTGCCAGTGCTCCTATTTAGCCTCCGTCAATCTATATCAGTCATTTGGCTTTTAGACCAAAGTTATCCTTCGAATGAGTCCGACGCTAAAAACACACTCGTAATCTACTTTTTGTTGACGAGTACACATAAATACTAATCCGGGCATTGCCAAGAACTTATCCTAGCATCCGGACGAAATGTCGGTTCACTGTTACGGCTCTCAACTTACTAAGAACGTAGACCGTAATAAGGCCTACTACGACCTGAGATTGTTTCAAACCGGAAAGCAGACGCCGGCCACCTGACGTCATTTACTGAGTCTTATCCGTTGTTGCCGACCCGTCGGATGAGGGTAGCACGAGCGTTTACTCCGGAGTGAAAAACCCGCTTCTCCAACGTTCTGCCATGGAGCAAGTTTTGAACTGTAGTGATACCAAACCTTCCGAGTCGGATCGAGTAAGTTTCCGAAGGCAGCCTTTGAGTCTTTTATTCGTGCCTCATTACGCAGCAACTCATCCAGCAACATATAGGGTGACCCAAGTCACCTGGCTCCATCTAGAATGGACCGTTAAAACTCGAGACCTGCACGTAGCAATCTGAACTTTTCATCAAAGGTGTATTTCACAGGTCGGTTTTTTCTTGTAAAATTACAAAGCGCAGTTCTCTTTCTGTAAAAACTAGGGCCAAGAAACTTGCCAGGGTCTATGGCAGGTGGCGACACAGACGACAAAGTCCAGAAGCAGGGTGTGTTTGGCATTTGTATTGATAGATGGCATCAGGAGCAGTGTCTGAAGGTGCAGCCGACCAGCGGAAGATAGCAGACGACACGCAGACGAAATCTGTTGGCAGCAAAGGCGCCGTCGTTATGCAGACAAATTTTTGTTCACTTCTTAATTTTCGCTTTTATTGCCCGCATCTATTTTTTAACCAAAGGTACATTTCATAAAGATTATGTTCATTTTAATAAACCAAAGTGGTCGCAAGCCATTGCGATAAGGAGGTAGCGCCATCTATCAGTACGAATGCCAAACACACCCCGCTACTCGACTTGGTCTGAGTTGCCGCCTGCCGTAGACCCTGGCAAGTTTCTTGACCCTAATTTTTACAGAAAGGGAGCTACACTTTGTAATTTTACAAGAAAAAACCGACCTGCAAAATACAGCTTTGACAAAAAGTTTAGATTGCTACGTACAGGCGTCGAGTTCTAACGGCCCATTTTAGATGGAGCCTGGTGACCTGGCTCACCCTACACTTTGCTAGCAAAGAAGGGGCCACAAGAGTATGTCCATCGAGGCTTCCGCTCGGGAAAGAGGCAGGACCACCGAGGCTATGGCGCCTCGACACGTCGCCCACTTTCCCAAACGTGGTCCCTTCACTTCTGCCCGACGACGCCATCGAAGTGTCACCCCGTTGCTGTTCCTGGCCGCGTCGCAGCAACGGTGCCCGATGTGCCTGCCGCCACAATCCACGCGAGCTTCGGCAGTGGGGAGTTGGGACTCCGCAATGACGGCGATGCTCCTTCCTACTTTTTGCCAGGGCTTCCAGTGCCAACTGCCAGGATTGCGACAACGAGACACGTGGGCTTCTGCGGCGTCGTTTGTCGCCACTTCGGGACCCACATACGGTGGGGTACGACGCTAAGGGGCGAAGACGCCCCCCAGGCACTGTAGCGGTGACCTTCAGGAGAGAGAGGGGGTCTAATCGAAATTGTCCCGAAAAGTGCAATCGGGTGCGCGCGCCACCGGCTTTATTACCACTTTACTACTTCCTAAATTTCCTATTTCCCCCGTCGAGCAGAATGGCCCCACATTTCCGTCCAGTCGAGCCAGTACGGAAGCGGGCAGACTCTCTTCCATGCGTGGCAGTCGGAGGTAGTCGGGCGACGGAGGGAGGGGGTGGGAACACCTGGGCACCCTGCACCCCGAGGGCGTGTGGCTGGAGGCCCCATGGGGCACCGGAGTCCGGACGTACCTTCCAGGGAGACCTTCTTGGGCGTCAACGGCTGGATGTGGTATGGGCCGTCCGGATTTCGCCGGTACTTCTGACGACCGCCTCGAACCCTGTCTAGCCGAACCCCTGAAAGGACAAACGGGAGTCAAACCTTTACAAAGATTCCTCCACTCGAAGCAGCACCGGGGTGCTACAATGACCGGGACCTCCGTGACCCCAGACTACGCTACTAGGCCAAAACATATCCTTCCTTAACAACGGAGCAATCAATCGAACGTCCCGCCTTATTTGCATTCCAGCTGGCGTCCATCGAAAGAGTTAAAAAAGCCTATTTTTATTAACTTGGAACTGCTTAGGGGCAATAATCTACCGAAGGACTACACAAATCGCGTGCCACTTTGGAAACACTTTGGAAAGAGGACCTGCAAACGGAAAACAGGAAAGAGGTAACCTTACAGCCTCTTGTTGAACCCCACCATTTACCGTCGCACCACAGACCCCTACAACAATTTGTGACCGCATCAAAATTTAGGAAGCCTTCAGCACAGAGCACTAAGGGGTTCTCACTGAAGGTCGCTTCGCACATTTGCTTACGAGCGTGCGCTTACAACGAGAAGAACTCGACTGTTACCATCTTTCAGGTGGCCCTGAATCACTTACCATCCACATCACCCTTGACACATCACTCTTGCACCACCCCCTTGAAACAAGTCTCACAATTCTCGTAGATTCCTTTTGATCTTGCAAGCACAGCCAAATCTTCCGGGGCAATACTGTGGCGCCAGTCTAAGCGGTCACGGGTGAGCCCCCTTGTGCCCGCTCAAAAGCCAATGCAAGCCCACGCTCTGCTCGTACATCTTGGGGGTGCCAAACCAGCCAAAGACATTCATTTAGGCTAGCCAAGCATTTCACCACCTAAAAGAAAAATCTCGGACCTTCCCCACATAGAACTAGCATCCAATCGCGGGCACCTCGGCTGGAATGGAAACCCGCTGACCGAGAATCTAGAGTTGGTGCTTTGCCTCAAAAAATCGTCTTTAACAACCTCGTTAAAGACAATAATTGAAGAGGCACTAAAGGTCAAAAGCTTTCTTTTTAATTATCCGAAATAATAGAGAAAAATGCCTGGCCGTCACCCTCAAAATTCAGAACTTGGGAACTAGGTATTTGTGAAGTAAAAAAAAACAATTTCACAAAGCCGAATTCAAAATTTTTGTGGAATCCACGATAGTGCAGCGACGTCAAAGATTGAGTTGTCTTGCAACTCAAGTTTTTCTCACGCCTCCGAACCCGTCCCGAACCTAAGTGTCGTGTTCGCCCGCGTCCCACGATCAGCCGCTCTCCTCCATGAGCGCCGCCTATCGCTGCGAACAGACGACACTTCATTTTCGAGTTCTTTTAAAGCTCTTTCAGCAATCTCAAACTCTTTGAAATGGCGTGAGGCCGAAAAGAACGCGGAGCGAACTTTTGTGAGCGACGTGAGGGCGCACGTCGCGCCGGTTCTGCCTGAAAGGCTGCCCCGGCGAAGTCACAACCGAGACTACGGTACACAGACACCAAACCCAGGAGGTTTGACCGTTTGACGATTTCCTATTCGATGTATGACAGGTCATTGGGCATCTAAAAAAAGAGAACTTCGTTCAATTCCCCGACTCACCGACTGAGGGAGGATACAAAGCCAGAAGGCGACATTACTCGGAACTCTGATTTTCTGTATTTCAAAAAAGAAGGGCTGTAGTGCATTCGCACTAAAAAAACATGTTTTACGAATGCCGTTACTAACTATTATAAAAATGTCGCTTACAAGGTTTCCAAATTTCATAATCGATTATGTTGCACATAAAAAGAAGCGAGGAGGTGAAAAGTGGGAGAGAAAAACGGCACGTGCGTGCATGGGGAAATATTTTTTTCCGTGTCTATGACTACAATTTGCATCGTTTTAGACAACAAATAAAAAGAATTCTGACTTTCGGGGTGTCAGTGCCCCTTTTAAGGCACAGGCAAATGGGTGCGAGTCTGAAAAAGACGAGGGGGAGGAGAAGCTGCGGGCTACAGGGAGACAGCCACTGTCGCGACATAACGACACTAGTGCTCGGGAAAACGGGAAGATGGTTCAGTTAGGGCAACATAATCTTCGTAAAATTCCACAGCCAAGTTGGTAGGAAAGAACTATTCACTCAAAGCCCCATCGTTTTCATCCCATTTATTAGCCTCGGGTTCATTTCCTTTAGAGCAAGGAAGCACTCCTTTGCGCCGGTCTCCACGCACGCAACGGTCGATCCGTCCAAACGTGCACCCCCGGAAGAAGAAGACCACCCGTAGCGACCGAGCCCCAACGGCCACCAGCGGACTGCTCCAACGCAGGAAGCGGAGCCAAACCAAACAGCAGCGAGCATATTGTACACTAAACGGGATGCGCAACCTAAGCTACCCGGGGACCTTTCCAAATAGACAAGAGGAGCAAACAATGCCGCTCCCAGAGGGGCCCAAAACAGAGCCCTGGCCAGCTGCCAGCAACCCTTCGGGCTCCTGCTGCACTCAATCAAGGGGAGAGGGCACCCCTTTCCAATCCTCCACCAAGGAAACCACAATGGACGTCCGACGACGACGGGTAACTCGTCGTACGCTTGCGACTAGAGGCACCAAGCGCGGGCTTGAAAGGTCGATGGTCTTGCGGGTGTGGCCATTTTGGTGCCTAGTGTGGGGAGGGCAAAGCTAGCCACGGTTAGAAACTTCCCAAGCTTCGGACACCGGGTCGGGAAGCCTATCTTCGTCTTGACATTACCGGACGACCGAGAACCCTTTCCGACCATTTCGGATAACGAGGATTTTGAGGGGCGAAGGACTCCAATGTTGTTACTTAGCTTATCTAATGGCCCTAGGTGCAACTTGAGGAGACTGAAACGCCACATCCGAGACAACCCCTACTCGAAAGAAGCGCAGTCCCTGCATGGCTGGAATGCGCGTAAAATTACGACTTCGCGTAGTTTGGCGTCTCTCCACGATAGACCGGTATAGAATGAAAATATTGCGGCCGAAAAGCTGCCTTCTTTCTCGCATTCCGTTTCATTTTGGCGCGCCCACTTCAACATTCCTGTGGTCTTGGACCCCAAGCTGGAGGTACTTTACAAAGCCCCTCCACGAGATGACAACCTCTCATCCTATGAATTCAATTCCGAAAATGTTAAAGTCTGCATCAAAAGATCCGGCGCTTCGTTTGACGCTACCGCCAGAGCAGCCGACGCACGAAACAACCATCTCACGCCTGTCACATGCATAGAGCACCTAATTTTGATACTACGAATCCAGCAAGGCGAAGCACGTTCCCCAAAGACGTAACAAATAGCCGCACCCCCCTGGGAGGTTTCACGTTTAGGCGGGAACTTTTAATACATGAACTATCGTGGACACTGTTAGCCATAGCACGGCATCGGCGGCTGTCCCGTACCCCAGCGCCGCATAGCAGGCGCCGTCCGAAACACCGCGCATGCGCCGTGTGGCGGACTTGCTCGTCGTGCCTGCGAGCACAACCTCGCTTTGTTGTCTGCTAGGCACAGAGCAAACGACGCCACAGCGCTCGCCAATTTTCGCTGAACACGGTTCAGCGAACCACTGCGTAAGACGTGCCCACGGTTCATTCCCTGACTCCGCTGGTTAAGGATAATCATCGCCACTAAATGTAATATCACGGTAGATTACATTTTTTTATGAGACAAACTTGCAGTTAAACTCTGTTTCGCTTTAGGTCTAAGCGCAGCGGACGCTACTAGACGACAGGGCCAACCAAGCAGCGACAAAAGCACTTTTTGCAACTTATTGGGTCCCCCGGTGATGCACACCGTGACGGTGCACCTTTACAGCTATTTGATTGGCTCTGTCGTTTTGTAGCATACGCTGCGCTCGGACTTAAGCTGAAACGGAGCATAAAAGTTTATTTCTGTATCACACCTGCTGCGCTCATACTGGTTTCCGAACGCATATTGTTAAAGATGCGTTGCACACGCCTGTTTCTGAACAAGCAAAACAAAAACAAAAAACAGACAGGGTTAATGCCCCAATGACTCTGCAATCTGCCCCAATAAAAATCGCCGGTTGAAAATGAGTTTGAGACCAGTCCACTATGGCGAGGGTACCAGACGAGCAGCACTGTGGCATCGCCTGCTCTGCGCCTAGCAGACGACAAAGCGAGGGTGTGCTCGCAAATGGGAAGAGCGAGTCCCCCACACGGCGCATGCGCCGAGTTTCGGACGGCGCCTGCTATGTGGCACTGGGGGTACGGGACGTCCGCCGCTGCCGTGTTACAGCTAGCAGTGTCCACGACAGTATGGCGACGACTGTCGAGGGGTTTAGTAGCTAAATGACAGCTAGTCAGTGGCTAACCCGCTACGGGTCGAGACCAAAGCGTGCCAGTGGTAAGGCCACAGCGTCTAGAAAGGCAAAGAAGGTGAGGGCTCGGGCGGGTTTGCCATGCATTTGGTAAGAATACATTTCGCACAAAAACACGGGTAGAAAGGAAGACACCCCAGAGCCGCCTTAAAACCCAAATATAGCTGTCGCATCAATGGGCATATAAAACGGCGCAGGGTGCCAGGTTGCTCACCGTCACTGGTATAGACAGTCCTTTCCCGGATAACGCGAGAAAAGGGGCGCCGACACCCGACGGCCAATAACCACACATTTTTCTAAACAAGCTGCGCAACCCCAGTCTCGTGAATTAATGCCAAGACGCCCAGAAAGCGCCTCGTGAACATTACAGTGAAGGTCTCCTCGTCTACTGTTTAAGCATCTGCCAGTTTGTTCCACATATTGCTTGGTTAGGGCGATGGGATTCATTGTCGGGACTGGCACGCTTAAAAAAAACGCTCGGTTGTCGGTGGAGTGGCCATTGGGTCAGCGGGGAAATCGTGGAACTGATGGCACTCCTTTCCTCACATTATCCGGGAAAAGGACAATCTAGGGGGCAAGGAAATGGGATCCTGCATTCTTTTATATGCCCGCTGACGCCACTCGTATCCACATGGGCAAGTTTCCTTCTACCTGCGTCTAATGTTTTTGCGCCCAATGTTTCATTATCAAACTTAAAAACTTGCAGCGTGGCCAGAGTAATCAGGTGTGGAGATTGGAATGAAACAAGAAGGCCACAATGCTTTTGAAGGTGGGTTCTCAATTTGGGTTTTACATAGAGTCAAACCCGTTTATAACGAACAGCAGGAAATGCTACGATCAGTTCGATATAGCCAGTAATTCGAAATAGCAAAAACCATTGACAACAAACTTCCACGATGCGTACGTTGTAAGCAGAGTTCGTTCTTTTAGCTTTTTTCCCTTTTCTGAATCGCTTCTCGCCGTAGGCAACCGTTTTGGGATGAAAGGTCTTTTTCTGTGCATGCGTGAAGAGTGTATTTTTTAGTGCTCTCCCCCCCTTCTGAATCACTTCTCTTCGCTCAATTTTGTTCGTAACTTGAGCTTTTGAAACTTTTTTCTTCCCTATTTTTTTTTTTTTTTTTGAGGGCAAGAGACAGGCTAGAAGACGACTGTTTCCGCGTTTTTGGAAGCCTTCCCGGGGGGAAAAGTTAGATATAACCAATGTTATTCGTTATAAAAAGTACTCTGTACATGCATTTTTATTCAAATTTTCCGCGAGTTCGAAATCGATAATAATTCGCTGTACGTGGGTTCGTTCTAAATGGGTTTCACTGTAGTACCCTTGTTGGGTTCCCCATCCCCAAAATAATGTGAACTTCCAGCCGTATTTCTATGATCCAGACACTCCTTATTATTGTTGGCAAGGTTTGTAAGGTTCCGCACCGCTTTATTGGATTAATGGCGAGACGGAGAGAGGTTGCTCGACTGGCACTCGAGGCAAATAGAAGTCCCTCGCAATTAAAAGTTTGAGAAACCCCGCTTCGATACTCGTTGCCATAAGGGCCACCAAGGGGCCAAGTAATAATCAGAACCCAATGCACCGTTAATCCGTCGGCTATCGACAAAAACGAGGTCAAATATAGGCTCCAGGTAAGAGCACCTGACACAAGGAACTTTGGCCAAAGGTCCCGTTGCAAGACGGAGTTTAGGACGAACGAATTTCCACCGGGCAGATGCCGGTAAATGATTACGAAGGGGTGTGCACCGACCTTCCTTGAGCATGCCCATCCTGAGGCACTTCTGGAAGCGGCAGGCCTGGCACGCCTTGCGCCGCCTCTTGTTGATCTCGCAGTCACTCGACGCCGGGCAGGTGTACTCAATGTTGCCTGCACAGGGAGAGCGTCACCGATCCAAGTGAGGGAAACCCAACGGCAGCCTTTGTTTCTAGGCACACTCAGATACCTCCAAACTCGAGAGGCCATATTAATATAGGTCTGCACTTACATACTCTCAAAAAACAAATACTCGCTTTTTTTTTTTAATTAAGTGCCTCGACAGGTCGCAATATTCCCGTCGCGAGACTCGTTTTGAGCGATTCCAAAACGTGCTTCTCTCTTGGGGTTTCGAGGAATGTGTCGTTCCGTATTTCTTTTCTCTTATTTCTGCTTTCAATCTAGAATTTGGGCGAGTCTCGTCCAGTTCTCTTTTGGGCTTTTGGGGGAAGTCTCGGAATATAAGCACGTTTCAGAATTGCTCCCAACATATATGCGCCTCATTGGGGCACTTTGAAAAAATGTTTTTTGGGTGTTTGGTGTTCCTTTCACTTCGACAAAATGGAACAAAATGCGTATAAATATTTGTTTTAAATGTCCCTACTCATTCTGTCTAATGAGTAGCGACGGTCCTCGGATGCACTCGTCGACGTTGCGACGACGTCGTGACCTCAGATATTTTCCAGAATGACGGGGCCCTCGTGACAAAGCCAATCTCTGGAGGAGGTCGTCAACTACCTCTTCCTCATGCATGGTGCTCGTGCTACGCCCCTGACGTCCAGCTTCACTGCTAATTTCCACTAACAGTGGCAGAGGGCTCACAAAAGCTTCAAGGTCGACCCCCCATTTTTAAAGGCGCATTTACCTGTATTCGAGTAAATACGGCCAAACGTAAACACGCTCCGCATTTGCGAGTCAGACTACCGTAAAATAAAGAGCATCCGCCCATTTCACAATAAACGCCCGCCCCTCAATTTTGAAGCATTCGGAAAATATGTGAACGACATATCTTTATGTATTGCTGACCTCAGGAGTGCCCATCCCCCCCATCTACACGATTAACTGCAGATTTTGAGTGGGCGCTTGCTCAGAATTTTACGGAAGTTTCGTGGGAAGCGATTGAAACCATATCCTCAAGAAACGTGCCTAGATTGAGGGAATCCCAGATGCGTGGCATTCAGATCATCAATGAAGGGCCGGGCAGTTGTAGCAGTGGCTGGGTCCGGTTTCCCAGTTCAGATGCGGAGCATTATTCATAAAAACCACATTTTACGGGTGCCTGCACACGTCCGTCAGCCAAAATCACCGCATAGACTATTCTCATAGATCTCCCATGCGAGACTGCATGTGTTGTATCCTGGGAACCGGCCGGCCAAGGGGTACAGGGGCACGGGGCCTGGGCATTGGCTGGCCAGTTTTTTCGGGGCCCGGGCCGGCCCAGGCCGTAGTGTGCTGCTAATTCAAAATTGTTGATAACAAAAAGTGTGCTCATTGATCTTTAAAGTTCAATAAAAACAAACAAGCAAAATGCCAAATCACTACGCTGCCGTTAAAAAAAAATAAGACGTCTAGCACTTTGAAAGTTTTCACGTGGATAAAAGGAAACGTATGGCTTCCATCAGCATAGTGGGAAAGTGCGGTCAAGAAACGAGGGCACTCCAGTCGCAGGGTACAAACTAAAAAATAAAAGAAAAAAAAAACGTGAGCTTCACTTTGCACTTTGTGTAGGGAGCCTTATTATGCCACCAAAGATAAGCTAACTATAGATAATTTTATGCTTATACAGCCTTTTCAAGATGCACTAGCGTGATTCTGATTTTTTCTTCACAAGAACATGTAGAGAGGAAAGGCCTCTGTGAAACAAATTTAACAACAAAAAGTCCAATATCTCTTCGAGAAATGCACAAATAAAATATTAGCCACTTTTTTTTTTTTTTCTCAAAATCACTTATGAACTGCATATTTCACCCATATTCTCAAAAATACATTGTTTAAGTCGGGATATTTATCGTGACAAAAATCTCGGTCCAAGTTTGAAGGAAATTTAAATCAAATATGCTCGCTTTATGCTTAAACATTTTTTTTTGCCTGCAAAACCTTTTTTTGGGATCATGTATACAATCTGTCAGGCTCAAGCCGGGCTCAGAATTATATTTTAAAAAAATTTGTCGGGCTCACGCCAAGCTCAAAATTCTTCCGGGCCCGGGCCGTGCCTCTACCTGGCAAGGTCGGGCCGGGCCTAGGGATTCCGACCCGTGCAGTGCTAATGTGAACACACCTCGAACATCTAAAAGTAAATACACCCCCTTTTTTTTTTTGCAGTACACCTCAGAACTGCACGTAAGAGAAGTTGGCGCTCGCTCGCATTTTATTAATTCATCTTTGTGTCTAGCATCCAAACTTACTGTGCAATAACATAAGCAGAACTTGACCAACAATCCATTTGTGAAAACGACGGAACATTTTCATCGAGTGTTGCACCGCACGTTTGACGGAACGTACGGGCATGAACCCCAACTTGCACAAACACATGACCGAAAAAAGCAAGTGCTTTTGACAATAAATACGATAGACACGCGTTTGCTCCCCTCACTATGCGAGTTTCCGGCAAGAATTTCGGAGCTGCCGTCGAGACTCCTGACTCCAGGGCAGTAAAGGCTCGTCTAGGCCTAGCGAGGACCAGGGGACCGCCGCTTCTCGCTTTGGCACGGCGCCCGTCCGGGGTGGTCTGTCGTAGCCCCCTCGGCATTTGAGAAAAACTCCATTCCCAATAGCTACGAAATTTGGGAACGAGTTATTTATTGATACATGGAGGAATGAGCCCTTTGTTTTGTGCAGGAGGAATTTTTACAGCGGAGCTGTTAAGGGCTAGTTCCCCCAGGATCGTGTCTCTCCTCAAACGACCTGATGACACAACTCTGGACAGCCACCACCATCTATGAGCGACAGCGGCAATTTTTCGAGCCTTTCCACACTGGCTTACTGACTTGCAGCCGGCCATTACTTCCTTCCCACCAAAGCAGAGCTTCGCTGGTCCCCCTTCTTCACCAGAGTGGAAAGGCTGATAGTTTTTGCATTTCGGCCATTTTCGTGCGCCAACGTTTTGCTGTGCTGGGTGTGCCGTGCCCCTCGCTGGTGCAGGAAAATCAACGAATCACTAACAAACCGGCCTTACAACTGCACAAAATAAACGGCCAAGACTTCCCCGTGTCGACAAACACCTTCCTACAAAATCGTAAAGTGACTGAGAGTAAAGCTATACATATCTGCACTGTGTGTACAGTGCCGAGTTAGTGCCGTAGTATGAACGGGCCTTTAGAGTCGGCAATCCATAGTTCGCCGGGAACACTGACGACAACCACCGTGCCCATCTTCACCTCGCCAAATGCGGTAACAAACTCCCCGCAGAGTTCAGCCGAATTCCCCCTCGACGAGGAAAGACACCAGAGCGCGCATTCGAGATCCCCAACGAGTTATTAGATGGAACAGACCGCTTTTCGAATGCAAAAAGTGACGATTCTTTTCTCCGACAGCCAAATCTCGCAAGCCACATCCCGAAGTGCACGAAACCCGCTCCCGAAGCGACGGTGCCACGAGCCGCACACGGGGCATGCCTCACCCTGGATGGTCCTCTTGAAGAAGGCCTTGCAGGCCTCGCACGAGGCCACCCCATAGTGGAAGCCCGAAGCCACGTCGCCACACACCAGGCACAGCCGCCGGGGGGAGCCCCCATGGTGCTGCGCCGGGTGGTGGCCAGAGGTGCCCCGGGTGCCGTGGTGCGCCAGGGGGGGCGTGGCCAGGAGGGTGCCCCCCGGGGTGGTGGACGAGCAGAACTCCGAGGAGCGGGGGCTCAGGGGGGGGCTCAGGCTGGGCGAGTGGCACTGCAGCTTCCCCTCCCCCGGGGGAGGCGACGAGGACGACGACGAGTACATGGTCAGCTCCTCCTCCTCCCGCTTCACGTGCCCCGCCATCCGGGGCCCTGCGAGCAGAGGGGCATGGGCTCATTGGGCGGGCCGGCAGGTCGGGCTGGCATTTCAACTGGACGGAACGCCTCCGACGCAGCTGACAAAATTTGGTCGATGTGCCACTCTCTCTCGGAACCTTCGCCAATTTCCGCACATTCCCTCGCCACAACATTTTGTCGCACTCCGCGTCGTAACCGGCGGTATTGCCCGCCCGTTTCTTTCCCCTCGCCACTCCCCAGCTCTTAGCTGGGGCAGTGCGAGATACGAAAAGAGAAGAAAAGGCTCCACTGTCTGTTGCTATGTCAGAAGGTGAAAAGAGGCTGCCCCCCACAGAGCCCTCTATTATTTCTCCTTTTCAGCATTTAAGCGCAAAGGGTGTTGTGGGAGAAGTTCCACCTTAAGGCCAGGGATGGACGGACATCAAAAACCGAAAAAGAAAAGCATGACTGCAATGACGTTGCAGTCCTGAGGAGTTGCATCTGTGGTGACAGGAGGCTGTCAAAATGCACGCTGTCTTTTACTCATAATAAGAATATACGCAAAAAAAAAAAAAAAGGACAAGATGAGTGGCATACAGGACAGGGCATACTGCGTGCCACTGATATTCTTGTCCTCACTTTTTTGGTGTATATTCCCATTATAAATAAGAACCAGCAAGCCCCTCTAGCAGTCTTAATACATCTTTTATTCTAGGTTTTCCTCCTTCACACCTCAAGGGGAGGGGGGAGACGCCTAAGAGGGAGCTGAGGGCTGTGGTTCGCAGGGGTTTCCCCAGGAAGTGAAATCAGGGGGGGTGTCTAAATTTTTTTGGGGGGGTTAAAGGGGGGGGGGGGGGGGGCATTGCGAATATAGGAGTCATTGTGAATTAAGGGGGTGCCTTCGGAAAAACGAGGAGGGGTCCTAACCCACCCTAAGGGGGGTCTAGGGAAACCCCTGGTGGTTTGGCCACCCCTGGACGTAAGTCGGGATCTCTCATCAGATCCCAGGTTTTCCGCCGAGCCTTGAAACTTTGGGAACAATTCAATCAAGTTTGACTTTTGAGTAGTGCTGCCAGACATCAAAGCAAAGATTTCAGATTTTGGGAAAACAATACTTATATGGTAGCTTTTTCTTAAATTTAAGAAAATTATTACCAATGTTCAGGAAAAGGAGCGAGCCTGTAACCTTTCAATGATTCGGTTAGTTTGTTCCCCTCCTCCACCAGGTGGCATCAGGTCATTCTCAATTCCCACGCAAGTGCATTATAAACAAACTTGGGCAAAACTTTGAGAAAACTTTACGTCAAAATGTTGAAAAAGTTGAGCTTGGCAAAACTCGAACCTCGGCTAGCTCGCGATGCCCCATTGCACAAATCCGGAAACCCTGCCAGTGCTCCGCTGCTGCCGCACGGGTTTGTGCGGGGAATCGCAGAAGTAACAAATTCAGTCGTGCCTCTTGCATAAAAAGCAATGAATGTCCAATAAAACTTCAATATCTTGTCTACCCAATTCGGGCTAAAAGCGAAGACAAGGACACAATGACGGCAACTGGCAACGATTCATGCTCTCAAACACTTTCGGGAAAAATCATTCAGCCAAGTTGCCAGCCTGTACGGCAGAAAACTCGTCCAATGCTTCCTATACGTCGCAAACGGCAACCGTGCAACCATAGGCGTAGACTTCAGGGGGGCATCGGGGCTCGTGCCCCCCCTGGTGAGATCCAGGGGGGGGGGAGGGGGGGGGGTCAGAGGGGCCCGGGCCATGATCCTTACCGAGACGCTGTTTATGTGCCATGTAACGAGCATCGAGTAGTGGCAGGTAAACAAAATAATGCCCACCTTGCCTTCATTAACAAAATGCATGGGAAATGGAATCCCAGTGTGCTTTCGTTAGCTTCAATCTCCAGTTCTGGCGAGAAGGTAACGCGCAGCACCCCCCCCCCCCTCCCCAAAAAACTTCTCAGCCTGCCTGCCTGCCCCCCCCCCCCCGAGAAAATAGAAAGTCTACGCCGCTGCGTGCAACAACATTTTATCTTTCATGTTAACGACGGGCATTCTAATAAAAGGTACTATTACGACTACGTCTAAATGCTTGGTGAGCTATCCTTACATAATTTGTCAACACAAATTCCACTTCCTGCTAGCAAAATGCGGGACACGCTGACCAAGCGATGGGGGGGGGGGGATGTAAGAGAAGAATGGTATTATATTTTGGCTGCGGCAACTGCAAAAGAAATCTTAGTGCACAGTCGGGCTGGTGGAAGTTTACCACTGGGGCAGGAAGAGGAAACTTTTTTTCAGCCTTCTGCCCCGGTCTCAAGTTAAAAAAAACAGAATAGAAAAAATAACTATTCGAGGAAATTTGTCAACATGCACCATGAAATGTGGCTCTGCTAACAGATTTAATATCCCGTCTTGTCCGAAAGCATATTATACAGCGGCAAATTTTATTGTGGCACTTAAGCTCAAGACGGGCGGTGGTGACCTGTCTCTGATCGGTCACCGCCACCCGTCACTATGCGACGTATAAAGACTTCGAACCATACAGTCACATTCCCTAATATCCGTAGCCTCCTTCCCAAACGTGAGCAGCTCATTGGCTTTATTCCAGATAATACTTCTGACATTGTCATTGTTACAGAAACGTGGCTAAAGCCTGTGATAAGTGACAGCAAAATTTCCCTCCCCAACTTAATGTTTAATATTTACCGATGTGATCGGTCCACACAGAGAGGAGGTGGTGTGCTAATAGCGGTAAAAAAATTCATTCCTTCCTTTCATATTCGTACCAGCTCCAATATCAAGGCTACTTTTGTTTGTGTTACATCGTCCTGCACAAAAACTATTATCGGTGTCTGCTACCGACCTCTGAATTTTAGCGGCATGTTTTGCCACGAGCTTCATTCTCTGCTGCTTGAAATCAATGAGCGGTACCCAAGATCAAGTGTCTTAGTCTTTGGTGACTTTAACTTCCCTAACATAGACTGGCTTAGGCTAACAACTAGTGGGTCCAGTGAAGCCAGGGATTTTCTCGATCTATGCTTAAACCATAATCTCACCCAAGTCGTCAACAAACCTACACATGAAGACAGCATCCTTGATCTTATTCTAACAATGTCCCCAGACCTGGTGACATCCATTAGCCAAACAAAAGGTTTTAGCGACCACAACCTGCTGACCGAGGAGTTATCCATACCCATCCATCATAGAAACCCATCCTCAAAAATGGTCACGGACTACTCCAAAGCCAATTTTGACGCCATGAACAGCAATCTTTCTGCATATCTATCTTTGTATACCGCCAGTTTTTACTCTAGGACCATGGAACAGAACTGGTTACTTTTTAAAAACAAGTTAAATAATCTCGTTGACCTGTTTGTACCCTCTGTCCATATACGGAGCGATGATTACAACCCACAATACAACAAAGCATTAAGGTCCCTCAACAATAAAAAAAAAAGCGATTGTTTAGAAGAGCCAAGCGTCTAGACTGCGACACTGCCTGGGATGCATCCTTTTTGCGCCTTAAGACCTACACTCAGATCCTTCGTCTGGCTAAACATAGGTTATTTTTTGAGAATCTTTTTAGTATCCTGCAAAAAAACCCTAAAAAATTCTGGAAGATAATGTCCCCTAACTCTTGCTCCTCCTCTATCCAGCTAGCCGATGAGGACGGGTCCCTCATATCTGAAGCGGACTGTGCCACAGTATTAAACGACTATTTTTCGTCTGTGTTTACATTAGAAGACGCCGACGTCCCTGTATTACCAGCACTACCGTACGAGTCTATGGAACCTATTGACATCTCATGTGCTGGAATAGCGAAACTCCTTGACAACTTGAAATTGACATCCTCCGGAGGACCTGACGACATCACCCCCAAAATTCTTCGCTAGACCAAAAGCAATATCTAGCGAATTTCTCTACTTAATATTCTCGCAGTCCTCATCGCAGGGATGCCTACCATCCGACTGGAAACTGGGTAAGGTGGTTGCGGTCTTTAAAAATGGGGATTGTTCTTTGGCTTCGAATTACCACCCTATATCTCTAACCTGCGTAGCCTCAAAACTCCTAGAGCATATTATCTACTCAAACGTTGTATCTGATCTTGAGAGTAAGAACTTTTTTTACAACAAGCAACACGGTTTTCGTAAAGGACTGTCTTGTGAGACGCAACTCGTAGAATTCACCCACGAGTTATACACTAATTTTGAAACCAAACACCAAACTGATGCCCTATTTTTGGACTTTTCAAAGGCTTTCGACCGCGTTGCCCACTGCCGCCTGCTTGCCAAACTTTCATGCCTCGGAATTGACCCTCTCATTCTCTCCTGGATCCAGGATTTCCTCTCCCCTCGCACTCAATTCACCACAATTAATAGTTCCTCATCCACCCGTGCTGAGGTTACTTCGGGAGTTCCCCAGGGCTGGGTTTTGGTCCCCTACTTTTTCCGATATTGATTAATGACATTGCAGACAAAATTTCCTCCAACATCCGCCTTTTCGCTGACGACTGCGTCCTATATCGAAGGATAGCTTCTTTTGAAGACCATCTTCTACTTCAAAGAGACCTGGACGAAATCCAGGCATGGTGCACCAGGTGGTTAATGACACTAAACCAATCTAAATGCGAGTTAGTCCAGTTTTCACGAAAACGGCAAGGATCTCAGTTCTCGTACAAGTTAGAAAATAACTTAGTTGAAGATGTCCCGTCCTATAAATACCTCACTGTGAATCTTACCAACGATCTTACCTGGAACACTCACATCGAGCTTACATGCGTTGAGGCGTCTCGCTGCCTAGGTTACATAAGACGAAAACCTGAAATCGGCTCCCCCATTCGTGCGAAAATTGGCTTATGAGACATACATTCGACCCAAATTGGAATATGCTGCGGCCATTTGGAGCCCTCACCAAATATACTTATTAAATCATCTCGAGGCAGTCCAGAACCGCGCTGCCACGTTTATTTTGAAGAAATATGATTGGTCAGTTAGTGTATCCACCATAAAGAGCAAACTGAACCTTCCTTTACCA